AGTACACAGGGGCGACTTTCTACGCCTGATTTTCATGACTAATAATCTACCTCAATCTTTAAAAAGGGGAGACAACATCAACTCCCAGACAGTTTCACTATCCTTCCCTGTGTACTAGGATTCTGATGTTTGCCTAGAAGAGCCACTTGAACCTTTTTCGAACTCGTGGCTCTGACCACACATGAAATCGCGACTGGTCGTGCTGGAGACAGTTAGTGCCAGGATAAGGAAGAAAAAGAAATACAGGGACTGGAAGGCTTGGATTGACGATCTCCGCAGACTATTCATCTATTTCGGACAAACGAAATCGATCTTTAAAAAATGTCGCAGCCCTGTATCATGTGGTGTCATTTGGTTGTTCTTTCTGAAGCAGAGTTTCTGCTTTCTGTTCTTTCGGAAGCAGTTCGTCCAGATGCAAGTTTTTTTTTAGTTGTATGACCTTCTAATTTGTGCATTTTATACCATCATCATTTGACTGTAATGTCAGATTCTTCATAAGAACAATGATTTCTGAATCCATGAAGGACTATAGTTCCTATCCACTCCAAGTCACTTTCAGTACCTATCTTACATAGGGTGGGAAAGCGAAACTGGGAGTTAACCTTACCTCCCCTTTTAAAAGGTCAAGGCAGACCACGATCAGTCACGAAATCAACGTTTGGAAAGTCGCCCCTGTGCACTCTCGCCCCCGTTTATCGAGATGAGATAAAAGGGAAAACTTAGCAACTATCTATCAATTAAGTCTCGGGGGCGAAAGTGGAAGACACCCTCACCACCCCAGCCCCCCCCCCTCCCTCTCCCACCCCCTCACCCCTCACTTTCGAGAACGTTCCAGCTCCAATGACCTGCAGGTCCTGGGGTATCTACATCATGTTGTATTCATGCAGGCTCAGTAGTTTTGAAAAAAAAAGGGAGGCGTGATGCAGCATCTAAACAACGGAGATGGATGATTCGGATGACAGGGAATAGTTTGCGGAATCGCGTCTACGGATCGAGAACGAATACCAGAATGTGAATACATAAATTGCGCCACGTCGCAAATTCGAGCGAGGGAACAGACGCTAAGCGTTACCCACTTTCGTTCGCGGTCGCAAACTGATGTAGTTTCAGATGTACTCAACTACATCTGAAAATTGATATAACTCACGACAGCATTAAATTTCAAGACTCGTGTTTTTGGGCACGCAGCGCTGAATATGAAAATATGAAGAATTTTGCGTATTTCTACCGACATTAGTTTGAGGGCAGGGTGTTAAAAGTGCTCAAAGTGTCCACTGCCAATTTCTTCAAATACTCTTAGCGTTCCACGAAGTGGCCAACAGCTGCCAGACAAATGGCAGGTGGAATAGTTGCAACCTCACTTTGGACTTTTAAAAGATGACCTGGACCGTCACGGTAAGCTTCCCTTTCAGGCAATCCCTCAGCCAATATTTAGGCGGTGACGGATTCGGTGCGCGAGGTGCGCATGGTGCACGGCCACCAAAGTGTTGCCGTGATGTTCTCTTCACTGCACGGCTGATATGAGGGATTGCACCATCCAACTGAAACGCAGGGTGGTGATGTCAGCCTCTTCGTCGCAAAGCAGGGATTACTGTCTGCTCTAACATGCGCTGTAACGATTGCCTTTAAGGAAGCCCTGCAATAAAAAAAAAAAAGGAGGGGGAGTGGGAGAGAAGTAGGAGAAACTCCATCATGAAGTCGCTAATGGAACTGCAACACCACACCGTCACCATGGCTGATGGAGTGCCTGGAGTTTGATGGTGTGATATGGGGATTCTCTGGTGACCAAATCCTACAGTTGTGGATGTTGAAGGACGAAGGAAAATGCATCTCATCCGTCCACTAGATGCGCCACAGCCAATCCGCATCAGCTCCCACCTGGACCAGGCATGGCCGTGCCAGTGTCAGGCGATCCTCGCGATCGAAAGACAGTTCCTGCAGACGATAATTCCGGCTGGATACAATCAGAGATTGCATCAGAGATTGCATGCCAAGATTTTGAAAACGTTCAAATCCGATGTTCGTGCAACCGCAGCGGTGCTGCCTGGACTACGTGGCTCCTCATGCAACATATATTACACCGTTTTATTCACCTCTGCAATCACCTTCACAGTGGCCGCTTCTTTTCTCGTCTTAAACGCTTCCTGTTCGTCTGGAGCATCATTAACAGAATAGCGCAGATTTTTCGCAGGAATCCATTAAGAGAAGCACGCCTGAAAATGGGATTCTACAGAACATTTTTTCAACCCCCTTTTCACCAGCGAGTATTCATAAAATTGTTTTATGCAATAGACGATACTCACATGACTGCAACCGCTTAAGTACGAGAGAAAATTGAGCAGGAATAGTCTTTAAAGGAATGCTTTGGTTTTCGCGATGAAACAGACTTACATGGATTCCCGCCCGAATCACTATCTGAACTCTTCGCATTCCATGCAGGAATTCTCCAGTGTCTGCTTACGTGTCGCGCTGGGGAAGCGAGCGAGGGTGTCATGCGCAGGACGGACTCCACTCCGCCTCGCACGTAGTCCACGAGCGTATCACGTTGTACAAAAATGCGGATTCGAAATCTCGACGTCACGGATCTTGGGAGATTAGCCCAAAAGTATTTATAAATGATGACGCGAATCGACGCTCGACCTCTTTCGGCCAAAGAGGCCAAGCCACGTTCCATCGGACACCGGCGATAAGCCCACAGATCGTCGGTTACTTTTTAAACCGATGGCACTCAACCTCTTTTATATCACGACCCACCGAGCCCGATTACCATGCTTAAGTGACCCACAAGCTCAGGAACGGTCACGGTTAATCCAATCGTCTGACACGAAAATAAACAAGCGAATGAACAAATATGAACACGAAAGAGACACAGACTTGCAAGCATATTTTAAAAAAAATACAGCATCCACCGTTTCACCTCATCGCCACCAGGAAAATAGTAAGAGTAGGATAAATAATGGAATTCTGGGAATAAACTTATTTCTCTTCCCCCTCCCCCCCTAACAAAGACTACGACATAACGGAGGAAAAAAGTTTCATAGCATGTATTCTTTCAACTAAGAATCATTCAAGTAGTCAATAATTTGTAACCCGTTTCCTGATTGCCTCAGTGCTCTCATTCTGACAGGATATTATTTTAGGTTTTCAAACAAATCTGAGTCAGTTTTCATATTCCGCACAAAAAGCATATGGGCATGCAAGACACCGATTGAACCGATTGCCAGGAGCCTCCGGCATCATCGTGCCTTTCACCCTGTCTTTCATCAAAGCTTCAAGATGTCTACACGAATTCAGATCTGAGGATCCATCAGGGCATTTTCAAGAATGCGCAGTGGCCGAAATCCAGCATGATTCTGCACACCAGCATGTCTTGGGCGGGCAAAGAGTGCATGGACGGAGCTCTTTCGTGGAGGAAAGACCCTTTAAAAAATAGGGATTACATTTGTTTTTGAAGGGTCTCATTGTGGGAATATTCCCCACCCAGCTCTGACCGATCGGTGTGACGACAAACGAGGGGACTTCTTCCTTGTGTGTGCGGAAGGCAATGTCAAGGCATTGAAGTGATGTAGGGACTGTTAAATATTGAGATTCCTGGCGTTCAGATTCATCTGCGTCATGTTTACATTAGGATGGAAAAAAAAGTAGATTCCGGCGTTGATATCAACATTGCAATTTCAGATCATTCCGTTTTTGCTCGCCGTATCCCGGGGTCGTCTGCTTGCAAGTCGTTCCACCAGCAACATTCTTGTATTGACTTGTGATCTGGATTCTGATTGTCAGTGGCCTACGCAGGGGCTCGAGCCCTTGCCTCCCAGCACCCTTCCCAAGACCGGTGCTCGGGGACGGGCGAATGGGAAACCTCCATTGATATGACATCTAAATTCCCGTCGAGCTCCCCCCCATCTCGCCCTGCGCCCTCCCCCCTCGTCACTCAGCTGCCATAACAATGAGTCCCCCACCCCCTTCCAAAAACCCTGCGTTGTCACTGCTGAGGGTGACACTTTTCAGGGCATGGAAGCTCGTTTAGTTCGTCCAGCCTCAAAAGGACCACTCCTTAATCTACAACGAACGGCATGAGTCATATTAATTCCCTCTTCCTCTCCCCAAAAGACAGAAGTAAGCGAGGGTTTTGACGAATTATAAGAAGTGGCACCTTTGCCGCCTGGTCCTCAAATATTAACTCTTATGCTTCGGTTTGACACTTCTCATTATTCTATACTTCTTTTTCTCTTTGTTCAATCGGTGCAGGATTTCTTCTTTGAGACATCTTCGACGCTTGATATTTGGGACTGGGTTCGGCATGTTTTCACTCCATTGATAATGCGTTGGTTCATGAAGATGACGATCTTCTGATTTCTTGATATTTTCTTTTGCACGTAACCTTGGGAGTTCACGTCATCCACGCTGACTCGAAAGTCTCGAGTGGCATTCTATGTGCGACGTTAAATCAGTTATGGACAAAACTGAGAATACAATAGCTTTTGATGCGTCTCATTGGGAGTCCGAAAAATAAAAAAAAGCTTGCCTGGTTTCTACAGAAAAGCAAGTATATTTCATAGATACAAAGATGAGGACTTCACAAAATTCCGCAGTCATCTTCGCATACACACAACAGATACATGATGACAACCAGAACAGAACAGAGAAGAGAAATGCTATTTAATCCAAATTGTACGTGAAGTACTGTAAGCCTAAGTCACTGGTTTCACGTCCCTGAGCTTGATCACCTGATTTGTACGAAAACAGGCATCCGTGGATCCCACCCACCCCAAGCTGATCGATAGACAGTCGAAGAGGAAAGACTAAGAAAAACATACGCGCATTCGAACTCGGTTCACTCAAATCCCAAAAAATCACTCATGCTCATTCAAAATCATGGTAAATCGAACCACCGAACCCTTCGATGAGAATAGAATCCGGAAAAAAATACCCGTACTTCTCCGAATCTCGGTACGAAAGAACCGGGAAGGCGATCAGTTGCACAGAGGGAGCAAAAAAGTTCAAGATCGCTCAGTCGCCGCTTCGTATGAAGGTGGAGGAAGGGAGAAATTGAACAGAGTTTCATACGCCGGAGGCTTGTCTTTGGATGGGGGCTGGTACTGGTGAATGGTGATGTTGTCGACGAAGATCAATTGATTGGGAGATGTATTGGAGGTGCCTGTTCTGTCGGGATCCGAGCAGCAGGGGAAAAGCTTCTGACAAATGAGGTAGAAGCCAGCACAGATGCAGAGTCCGAGGATCAGGCAGAGAAGAATTGCAATTGCAGCCGGGAAAGGACCTGAAACAGTCGGGGAAATTCATGATGCATGATGTATCTTTTAAATTCATATATGCCTGTGGCTCACAAGGGACTTAAATATTTATTTTACGAACGTATTGCAAATGCCGAGACACGTACCGTAAGTGGTTTCGGGAGGAATCCCTCCGGGCAACTGATTGCACATGGACGAGAACTTGAAAAAACACCTAGAATGCGACATCCACACATGAAAACGGCCAAACACTGAGCACGACGATAGTTACAAAAACGGAAAGAAGTTAGAAAAAAGAAAAGAGACGAAGGGAGAGCCGACGCCTCCACCCCCCGTGGGAGGGAGAGGACGGCTGCGAGCCAGGCTCGAGGTTGTTCCCCTCTTGTTTACGTCCTCCATCCCCTCCCTTTTTTCTTTCTTTCTCTCTCGTCCTCCCAGGCCGGGGGAGGCAGGCTTCCACACTATCAATGAAAGGGGGTGGGGTCCGCATTCTCTCCAAGCCAGTGTTGCCAGGTCGCGTTAACAGGGATATTTCCCTCCCTCCCCCCCTCTCCCCCCCCCAATGCGAACTTTTCCACAGAAATCAGCGTTACGAAGTTTTATCAGATACGCCTTGTTCAGGGGTATTTTCACAAACTCGTCCTATCTCATGCTCTAAAAATTAGACTTTTAGTCTGGTATTGTTTCGAGATTTTGGTTCTAGATTTTTTTTGTTGCTGTTTTTGGAGATCTTGAACCGTTTTTATACGTTTTTTTTTCTGAGATGAATTGAATTTAAGATCGAAATAAATATTTAAATTCTTGAAAGTAGCAGTTTTCGTCTCTACATATGCGATAAATTGAATTCCCCGCTGACAAAGGAACTGATATCCCAGTCCCTTTGCTAGCTGGTGCGTAGCGGTGGTGTAACAAAAAGTACTAAGTAGCATAATCATTCGATTGTCGTGACTGCGTTAAAAATAAGCTTTTGCTTTAGATTCGCTAGGTTTTGGATTGGAAGAACTGTTTTTCACCTTTAAGACCTGGCAACCCTGCCTGTCCCTCAAATAAATCTTTTCTGTGTATCGAAAGGGGAGTTACGCACCCTTGGATATTTGGAACCAATGCGTATGGAGAATCAGTACAGTACCGCCATTCCAACGAGGTTGAAACCTTAAAACATATATCGATGATGATTTGAACTTGGGACGGCTGACCAGGAAACCAGACAGAATCGGGCTCTTGTATCGTTCACTCACCAAGAGAGCAACGTTGCTTTCTACGCCGGCTTCCAGTGAGGCAGATGCCAGGTACATGGAAAATGAGAGGGAATCGAGTCACGTTACGAGAGGTGAAACTGGTGCCGTCGTTTCGGATATTCCTCTTTTCATTCTTCTCGAATTTCTTATTTATTTCGTCCAGGATGTATGTGAAGAGATTCACCGCGAGGACAGCGGTGTGGGGTCAGAGGCGAATGACCTCGACTCAGTGTGGCTCTGAGGTCGGTGAAACACCACGGAAGCGGATTTCCTTTCCCGCGTTAACGGAGACAAGGTGGGAGGGGGTGGGAGGGGGGGGGGAAGAGCCGCGAACGACCTCACCAGTTCCTTCACCTCTTAACGTCTTCTTATCTTTCCCTATCTTTTGAGAGGCTTCCTGGCTTCCTAGGGCGCGTTAGACCAAGATATCTAATCGAACGAAAAATCTTACTACAGTCATGGATGGACTGAATTTTGAGCTTTTTCTTTTCGTTTCTTTGTTACTATTATTCTTAGAGAATTCATTTGACACCATGGCTAACAGATCCCTTTCGCTCACAAGAGAGGAAAGGAATGAGCAAGGTTCAAGGTTAGGGTGAGGATGTGAAAAGGCGTTCCTGCCCATTACGACATCCCGTGTCAAGGTGACGAGATTTCATGTAAAATAAGATAGAGCCAGGGTTGCTTTCCGGGCTTGCGGACCATACGAACAATGACTTTCTTCTCGGGGTCCACTCTAAATCAGAATCTTCACTTGAACCTATGAAATAATGGAATCAGAGGCAAGCCACCAAATTATCTTTACAGACCTTGTTTTTTTTTGCGAAATCGTCGGTGTGATACATGAAGTTGGCACTCGGATCGCATCACTTTGGAAGTGTCTGGTCCCAGCCTCGAAGATGCTACTCTTAGCACGTCTCACAGATGTGCATAGTGCTATTCAACCGAACTTAATTCAACTTCACGAGGGGAAAAGGTCTCTTCGCAGATATACGTTGGTGCAAACGAGCAACATAGATCTATGAGATCCTCAGTTAGAACCAATCTTTCATCCTCAGCTCGAAGGAAATTCAACAGCCGAGCAGTGTCTGCCGTCTTAGCTCTCGAGTGTAGGACAAAATGTCCCCGGACATAATGGTCCCAAATGCAATGTAGGACATAATGGTCCCACACACCAGAAAACCAGCTTCTTTGAATAAGGATTAATTTTTCCAACACATATGTTGATGTGCTGTTCAAATTTTTTCGGATTGTATAATTGTAAACTCCAAAGTTGCTTGAATAATTAAATGAAATTACTAATCTATTAAAATAATTATAAATTCATTAAAAAAAAATGTATGCAATGGATGCAAATTTTATTAAGTACAACAAATACTAAAATCGGATGGCATGACCAACTCCATGCAAGACCTCCTCCCAGGATTTAAATCCCTCTCCATACTGTGTGCAAAGTGTTCTCAGCCTCTGCTGCATTACCTTGTATACCCGCTTCTGCCTCTTCTTGGGGGGATTCCCTGCAGTTTCTTGCAAAATTGTGTTGTTTGACCGTATTCAAACCAATAATACACACTCAAGAATGAATAAGATATATTTCGGCAAGTAATGCTGCCACTTAGGTATAACAGGATGATAAAATATAAAATACCATGCACACAATCACCTATTCCACGGGAGAATAACAGATCTTCCTTCTTTTTTTCTGTACTCCGTAAACGTATGAATATTTTAATAGAGGGAAATTGCTCTTTTATACAAATGTAGCTGCAGTAAAAGTGAAAGTCAGAAGACAGTCATCAATGAAGGCGTTGGGTGCTGCTAGTGCTGATTGGAGGATCAGAGGATTACAGGGTAAACAAGGTGGGATGTTTGACTTTTTGACTGGGAAGTGCTGATTGTATCAGAGGATTAGTTGGAACAGAGGATCAGGATCAGAGGATTAGAGGGTAAATAGGGTGGGAAGGGTCAAGTAAAATTGCGTTAGTTGAATAAATTGTGTTAATGAATTATAACTATTTTAATAGATTTTAATAATTTTAACAGCATATCAATATCTGAGAGGGAAAAATTAATCCTTATTTAAAGAAGTTGGTTTTCTGGTGTGTGGGGCCATTATGTCCTACATTGTATTTGGGACCATTATGTCCGGGGCCATTTTGTCCGGTTCCCTTCGCTCTCGTCACATGTGCTGGAATAGTACACGACGTTGTGAGGCATTAAGCACATGTCGCCGTGAAGATGATCAGAGTTGTCTTCAATACATATTATGATTGTTGGATGCGAGATGCTCACAGCTTGAAATAACTGACTTTTTTTCAGAAGACGGGAAACAATATTTCCGATGCAAGTCTTAACAAATTCTCCTGAAAATTTCCAGCTACGCTTAACAATGAAGTAAGCTACCTGATGGCTCCCGCGATTCGCCTTTTCTTGAGCGAAATTTACGTCACCAAATGACGAAAGTTGCGGGGAAATGTCAGTCTGGGTCAGGAATTTCGTCAGCGAGTTCAGATCGAGAAGCCCTGGTGTACACTTCACATGATACTGCGTGCTTGGACTTGGTCTCTTATTCCTTCTGAACTACAATCGTCTCCTGACAAATCCTTGCCTCGACACAGCGTTGCCATTCGTGTCCTGCAAAAAAGTATTCAGCCTGCCAGTGATTTTGACAGTTTCGGTACTCGCTATCAACTTTCCTTTCTTGAGGCTTGACATGATTAAATGATATCGTACCAAGTAGGGAAAAAATTATGCAGAAGCATGCGCTCAGAAACTGAAATATTCACACCTATGGCGACTGAAACTCGCTCTAGTGGAGATCAATGAATGGAATTACACTGAATTTTAAGTGACACACTCGCTAACGAAATCCCTTCACAGCTCTCTGTCCAAGTGCGATGTCCTAGGGAAGCACTCAGAGCTTGGGATATAATTCCGAGTTTTCGGCGAACAGAACCTGAGTAATGATTTGGGATGCTCGAAGAGACACAGAAAGGAACAGACAAGAGACAAAAGTAGAGATATGTGCCGTTGCATATCTCTGCGGACACCCATGATAAGTAACTGGGGAGCGAAAAAAGCCTTATTTCCCAGAACTAAAAGGCGGATCCAATAAGCCGTTAAGCATAGTCAGACGAGAGAAGGAGACTGATGCGTTTGGAACAAGACTCTCCAGTACTATGTATGAAGAGGGACCTAAAACAGCCCAGAATACAGTGAGTGATATGCGCATGAGATTTTTTTTTAGATGAGATGAAAAGGCAAGCCGAGGGCCAAAAGTATCGTGCAGGTCGCATCTTACGGATAGAATCCTTCGGCGGGCCTGATCTGCCCCAAGGGCCGTTGTTTCAGCACTCCTGAGATAGACCTACTCCTCTGAAGATAAATATTTTTGCGGAAGCAGGCAAATCTACGAACTAATTACTCATAGCAATATTGCTTTCTTTTTATTTGGCTCTGTCCAAGAAAACGTATAACCTCTTATCATTCCCCAACCAGAACCCCATTTCGAGGCTGACGCGACTTGAATCGATTCCCTCTCGCTCTGCTTCAAGTTGCAAAAATTCTACCGCGCTCTGCGCTCTCGATTCCATTAATGCTGTGTGCATGCCTGGATGAGGTCTCCCTAAATGCTGCTGCATACCACAGTCGATATTTCAAATCTCCACACATGAGCAAGACTCGATGAACGAGTCCCACGAAGGCATTCTGCCCGATTCTTAAATTTTGTCATCTACAGGCCTCACTTGGAACGCCGTTGTGAGCTGAAATCCGTGCAAGTCTCGACTGGGAAGAGAATAAGGCAACGAGGCAGTAAAAGGCTCGTGAGATGAGCTGATTACACCGCAGAGTCTGGAGCCGATCGAAATTGATTGACACCCCCTTCCCGTCTGCCCTAACCACCCCCCATCAAGATGTGATAAACTTGGGGGGAAGGGGGAAGGGGGGGGGGGGGGCAGAGATCGCTATCTCTCAATCCCCGCTATGCCTTTCTGGCTTCTTTTCAGCCTGGGGACAATATTAGACAGGTGAATGAGTTCGTGAACTCACTTCCTAGCCAGTGGTTCTCACCATCTGCTTGTTGTACCAAATAACTACCCCAACATTAGACCCTTCCACAAAAACGGTAAAAACTAGGGGTAGAACCTTGTGTCGTTCAGGTAAAGAAGCCGCCATACGTAAAAGGGCCATTAGCTAAAAGGAGATTCAAGGGGTTGGCTAATGATATAAAAATGGCCTTTTAGTGTAAAAGCCTGTTGAAGAATCACGCTATGCCAAGAGGAGTACTTAATAGGAGGAGAATCGAAGTTGAGTTTTCGTTCCTAAATGCTTTTATCCCCATTCAGTTCCTTCATTGAAGGTCGCCGCACACGAGCCGACTTTCCGTTGGAGACGCACGGAGCAGATATCTCCCCCACTTTTTCTTCCTCCTGCCGCTCGAAGCATCGGAGCGTGTGCGACAAGATCCGATGCTTCGTCCCTTGTCTCGTGCTGGGGGGTGAGAGAGGGGACGACGAGAGGGGGGGGGGGGGGCGACGACGACGAAAACATGCCACGTCATGGAGAAGCGTCGTCTGGACTGCATGCCGCAGGTCGCATGACATAGCTCCAAAGCGGGCGATGTACTTCAATTTTCAATTGAGGGAAACATCATTTAGCTGGTCTGAGAAGCGCAGGCCGAGCTCATCCTAATCGCCACCTTCATCCAATGATTTTGTAATCGATAGAAAAAACTTGTCGGAGCTCCTCCTCTAGTGTTTTTCTAATCACGAGCGGCACCTACAGCATCTACAGGGTGATTCATAAGTTTCTTACCATTCTATTTACGTTTAAAGATAAGCGCATGTTCAACATAGAATCCAATTTCACCATGAAATAAATTTCACCATGAAATAAATTTCACCGTGAAATACCATGAAGAATACTTTTTTCCCTGCAGGCCATGCGATTTTTATTTCTGAGCTACGTACCACCGGCATCTGCACTTTCGCACTTTCTGAAACGACTCTGTGAAATTTGAGTTGACTTGAGCAGTATTCGCTTTCTTTGAGTTTCTGATGTTTTTCGACGCCCTGTTGAGCGTTCTCAAGCATTACTCAAAGAAGTCCAGGGGATTCAAGTCAAGCGACCTCGAGGACCACATCGATCATTGACCAGGAAACTCCAGGAATAAATACACTCGTCTGTCGGCTTCCGGTGGGGCAATCTTCTTGAAAAAGCAGGTCCGAATTTTGCCACTCGGCATTTGAGCATCTCAGGAATTAAAACCATATTGTAAGTAGGGACAACGAGGGCTCTTTTCAATAGTAGTTGGTTTCCTTATGAAACGAAAGATTCCCTCCCTATGAAGGTGAGTAAAGGGGTAAGGAACTTATGAATCATCCTGTATATTAACCGCGCCTCAATTTCATCCTTTTGAGACGAACGAGAAGAGGGGCACTCAAGAAAGCTCCGATTCATCTCCGTCATCCATTCGTCAGCTAGTTCCCATGATAAGAAGCCAAGGGATTTCTTTTATTATTGGTTCTCAGTGCCCGTCTGGTGAGAGCCTTCGGACCAACTGGGGGGGATGTCACGATCGGATGTGCTTCCGACGTCCGACTTCCTGTCCCAAGGAAAATCCGATCGTGTGCGGCCGCCTAGTCTCAGAGGAGAAGGTGGCACTATCAGTAATACCGTGAGCGTGTCACGGTTGGGAAGACTCAGGCTGAATAAGGAGACTTTCATTTTCGGCCCGTGGAGAAACTGGTCAGAAAAACAGCGGTAACTTCATTCCCGTCCGTGCAAGACCTTCACTCGTTTCTCACTAGATGTCTCTCTTTCTCATGTTCAGTCTAGAGTAACGATTCCCAAACTTTCGACCTCTGCATAACATTTGCCTCCAGGGTGTATACGTAGCATACCATCACTTGTCCCACATATGCATATCCCACTAAGTATACGAGACTAGTGCTTTATTACGCAAGTTTTTTAAAAATAAGTATGGAAACCTCTTGCGTACCACCAGGCATTACCTCGCGTACCACAGTTCGGGAACCGCTGGCATAGGCGTAGCGTGGATGGAAAAAGTGTGAAAGGGGGAGGGGGGCAAGGGGGGCACCCCCTCCTCCCGTACTCTACGCCGCTGATCTTGAAAGAAGCGAGCGAACTCGTCCATTTGCAAAGGACTGTTCGCTTGAAACGTCTTCAAATTGAAATCCTCCTGGAACCATGAATAAGGCCGGATCCTCTCACTCACCTGCACCGGGAGTGGATTGGCATATGGAGCACTGTTGATTTAACTCAATTATACGACGGACTGCAATAGAAAAACGTGCGAAATACCGCTACAAGTTCTGCCGACGCCTGAAGGAGGTCTAAATAATTTCCGCGAGCTTTCTTACCCTTGGAGGATCCTTTCCCTCGGAGACTCATTCGCCCGGAAGTCTGTGGGCGTTTGGGTGTTTAACGAAGCGGGTCACTTATCATTTTTCTTCTTGCGCTTCGTCTAATTGAAATTGGGAAGTGTTTTCACCCTTTTTAGATGTCTGGATGGATTGATATACATGCTTCAAAAATGTTTGGGAACTCTGAAGAGTTGAGTGATGAAGTTTGGCATGGTGGAAGGGCTTTGGTTCAGTCAAGTCAATGACAGCTTCGTTAAATATGGGCTGTCATCGACATAGTCCGGTAGGACTTGCTGTTAAATTTCTAACTATGGGAAATTGTGCGATGGAATTTAGCACATAGCTCAGAGACCGAATGTGGATGAATAGTAATTTTGTTTTAAAATGTTCAGTAGCAATGAATTAATAAATGTGAAAATGAGAAAGACAAGCTGCACGCGCAGGGGCTAACGTATCAAACGTCGCTGGTGGATAGTCGCCTACTTCGCGAGTGATACCCTCCTCTCGTCCCTAACGGGATTAGATGCCTTCCTTTCATTTCACTCCATTTTTCGCTCAAACTATCGGGGTTGATCACTATACTGAGCAGATAACGTATTTCGTGTCTCATGATGACAGAATGACGTACTATATGCAATTTCCAATCATGGACCATACGAGTGTGTAAACTTCGTAGACGTCACAGGCAAGGAAGAAAAAGTTCTCCAGCTTGACAGCCTCAAGGAATAAATCTGATAGTTTTGACGTACAGATATTCCAAAATTACATCGATGAGCATCACACTGACAGCTCCCCCTATCCTCGGTGAGATGGCATCCCTTTTGCATTTATGACGGTCTAGACGCTTTCCTATTCTTCTTGCATTTATGCTAAACTCGAGACAGTTAAAAAGAAAGTTAGGGTTTAAAGAAGGAAAATCAAAATGGCTTGGTACGGTTCAGACGACACTCGAAGAGTTCTCCTAGCTGTAAATCATACGCGCTATTTCCCGAGCCGAGCCAATCGTCGAAGAGACGACTTTTTTCATTTTGGGGATATTTTGAGCTAAGTTTGCATCATCCTTACATAATACTTTCCTAGTGCACTGGGCCCTGATTGCCGGAAGAAGTAACTACGCCAGAATAGATATTAGGTAGTAACTCAACGCTGACGCCAAATTCCATAATACATATCGATCAACATGTTTATTTGCCCGTCCCCATCCCGTATATTCCAATTAACAATTCAAAACCCTTTCAATCATTCGTTAGCAAGACAGAGATTCTAATATTCTTCACAGGAAACTTGGGAGTAAGCAATTTTGACTTGCATATTCAGGTTCTTCCTATTTTAGGTATGTGGGATGCAGTCTATACGTCAAGTGATTCCTCTCGGGAGCTCATCAATCACCACTGACATCACTCTGGTGCTAGATATTGCATGATGCAGATGTCTCAGTAAGAGCGATGTCATGAAATAGCTCACTAACTGAAAACTTCAAGATATGAAATGCAGATGCACATAAGTCAACTTTCAAGGATTTAACTCCTGAGTGCTGTAGTTATGTAAATAATGTGCAAGTTTTGCATTTCAACACAAAGAATAGATACAAGCAAATGGGAAACCTTCAAAGTATTTCTTTATGCAAAGAATTCTCTCATAATAAAGCATATAAGGCAAACAGTTGAACATGAGGATTGAAAATGACAAGAAAAGAGGTGGCATCACTGTGAACTGGACTAGGACTGGGAACAATGGAAAAGGAAATCGAAGAATAACTCAAATCTATCTTCATCACATACTGTTGATAGGACATCATTACAGGAAGACTTTATTATATTGATGGCTACCTCTCATAAGGGGATTCACGAAATACAGACCTTTGCAAAGTAAGAGGACTTCATCCCTTGGAATGCAAAAAGTAGAGAGAGGGGTGCATCATGGTAACTAAATAATTCCTGTTTCCAAAAGCAAACCCTATAGCCTAGTAATGGGATCAGAAAGTCAATAAAATTATATTCAAAATGTCAAAAAAATGAAGGGATTTTATGTTCCCATGCTTTCTGGACAAACTTCCTTGTGCAGGGTAAATGCTGACAGCTACAGTTATGGAGACTTGACATAATCCAGAACTCCCCCTTATAACTATCATACCTAGTCATGGTGTTGTACTGACTCTGAATATCAGAAGAAAATCAGCTAGTGTCTTGTTGAGAATCAATGGTATCAGAAAGGAGTACAAGGGTACAATCTCTACACACACGCACAGGATGATCCCAGCCCCGCAAAGGGACAGGAACACGTTTAGGAGAGCAAGGATCACAAACACCTCTCCCACATGATCGACAATGATGCAAGATCAGTTTCTCTCCAAATTCCATTTTGCAGATACAACAACATGTAATTTTGTAGTCTGGCACCCAGTATGCTGGCCGGATAGAATCTTTCAGCAGTGCTGCAAAGTATTCATACAATCACATAACAGTTATAAAAGCTAAATATGGCTTTTTCAAATATGAAAAAATTCCAAGGAACTGACCCAAAGGATAGTCAATTGCAGATGTGAAATTTGCAAGAGTGGATCCCAAAGCTTCAGTAACACGTCTTGCTGTGTTTTCATTTTCCACTTCACCAGCAGAGTATGAAAACTCTGGGCCTGCAAAACAGGTATCAGTGAATACTGTCAAGATTCAGGAGAAATAAAGAATTGAAATTATCAGAAGCATTGGACAATGAAATTTACCTTTGACATAGCACTGATCACAGACTCGGACAGGGACATGGCCCCAACCTCGTTCAGGCACAGGGCGCTTATTGCTTGAACATTCATCACAGAATCCTTCTCCACATGACCGGCAATGATGCTTTGTATCATTGGTCTCAAACACACAGTTGCAACCATAACATTGCTTTAAAAAAAGGAATAAAATTTGCTGAATGAAGATGTGGCAACACAGTATTCATTTCTCAAGTGACTTGGAACTATTATTCTTATGCTGTTGCCATTTCATTTCACTGAAAAGTGATAGAGAAGAACTGACCATGATGTCAGCATTTGGTCTCCAGTATGCAGGAGCCAATTTGTCAGAGACCCATGATGACATCACTTTTGCTGGAGTCAGGCTCCAATTATTTATAGTCTCAGAAAGACTGTTCACACTGTCCAGGACCTGCCTGGCAGCATTGTGAGTGCCCTGAACCACTGTGCTGTTCCCCTATTCAAAAAGAGAAATTGAAGCAAAAAAATTGTTTCTATGCAGAATGATAAAGATGGGACACGCAAGATTCTATCATTCTATCATACATCAGGCCAAACATGGGTTATTTCAGTGAAGACAGCATGTCCAACAGGTTCCTTGTTCCCATACCAGTATTTTCGACTTCGGTATATCACTCCACAATCTGGACACTCCAGTACATACCTGGAATGTATGAGATAGCATCACATTCTGCAATTCATTTCTCCTCTGAGAAAAGGTTAGCTTTAGAATAATCACCCTGCCCATGCATATTTTGCAAATCCCAGCCAATTTGGGTCTTTTGAGGATGACATCTTTGGCACAACAATTCTCTCTTTCTGGGCTGCATGACAATGTTTGCATTTGAAGATCTGGTTCTCAAATTCAGACTGGTATCTGAGAGGAAGAAGAAATAGTTTCAATATTCCCAGTCATGGAGTAATCATGCACATGTAGATAACAGAACATATGAAAGCTCACTGGCACATCTTCCCCTTGGCTGCATGCAATTTTCCTTCATCCTCATGTCCTCGTGTGAGTGAACACTGAGCATCGCAAACTAAACAACATACCTGGCACACTAAATGAGCATCTGGAAAGGAGAGTCTATTTGCATCTGACAATTGGTAAGCAAACTTCTGTGACAGCAGCTGCAAAAAAATGGAATAACAAATGCCAATAGTACCTGCAATCTCCAATTTTCTGCTTAGGAAGGAGAGTGAGCGAATTACCTGAAGAGGGACAAGGATAGTTTTAAGTGAGCGTGGTTGATGTGGCTTCAGATGCCGGTTTACAGCTCTCTCCAGAGGACCAAAATCTGTAATGGTTTTGGTTTGTGTTCCCACATACTCCAAAGATGAAATTCCATAAATGTTAAGACCCATTTCAGTCATTTTTCTCTTGATCTGCTCCTCAGGTGTCCAATTCTTCCCTGATAAATTAAGGGCAACATTCATATCCCAATCTTCAAACATCTTTCAAGACTGTGCAATAAGATTTACCTCTACACAAGATGGCTGTATGTTTGGTCTCATGGAAGATGAGGAATGAAGGGCCTTTTTTTTCTGGCATTCCAACTGATTGACAGATCCGTGGAGAAAAGTGTTCCACATAGGCTTTGCAAAAGTCAGCCAAGAATGTGTAAACATCTGAATGCAACCTTTCAGCATTCACACGATATATGACCACATTGGAGATGGCTGCCACCTAAAATCATGAAATTTCCTTGCAACAAAGCCACGAGAAGACAGTATTTCTTATTATTTCTGCAAGAGTAATAAAGAGGTTACATCCTCAATGTAACTACTTGTACTGTCTGTCCACTGAAACTTGGCCGAGGCAGTTATTAAATCTCATTGCCCTAATGATAATCAAAGAAGTCAAATGGGAACAGAACTGTGAAGTACCATACATTAAGTTCATAGTAGGTATAAGAAGCCAAGAGGTCAAACATCATTATTTTGTAAGTGTCTCTCTACCCATAGTTCTTGGGCAACAAAAGACCTGCAGGCCCTGCCTTTGCCTCTCAGTGTCTGGTCAAATGGTGATGCACAAGAATTAAAAAAGGAGTAGACTGTTGACTGCTCACATTTTTTGGAGAAACAAGCATAAATACTCAAGTGCTGAAAACAGGAAAGGCAAATTTACTGTCATTGAACTTCAGGAAATAGGAAAAAGACACATTCTTACCTTTGTTAAGGGATGATAGCAGGTATAGTCTATCTGATCCAACTTTGCAATGCCAGCCTAGCCTGTTTTATGTAGCTCAATAATTTTGTGCTGTCATCAGCCAGCCAAAACATCAAAAAGGGGCTTGAGCTTATCAGTGGTGGACCTAGGTGTTCCCGGCACTTGTCAGCCATCTTTTCAAGATTTCTAAAATCATTAATATATAATGTCTCCCCCAAGGAGTGTTGCACCTGTGTCTGGCAGAGGGGTCAAAGGGAAATCACCCTCATCACTCAGAGGAGAGGAAGATGGATGGCATTTAATGACTCCTTTGAAGATTAAAAGCGTTGCAAGGTTGGACAAGATAGACTATATAAAACAAAGTATCCCAGGTTGGGTCTGTGTTCTATGTCAATTCATTTCCACCTCAGTTATTAACTTATAATTTTAGGCCATATCCCTCAGGCAAGCAACTCAATCCACCCTTTGCGCCCCTTGATACATGAATCACAAATCTGTTTTATCACTCTTTGGCAGTGGATTGCTGTTCTCCAGATGTGAAAATTGAACAACTGTTTTGACCTGCTCCTCGTAGGTGAAACACATTAAGACGCAAATATGACGTTGGGAGTTTTATTAACAGAAAGAAAGTAGTGATGTCCCATCTCAACTCTTTCTAAAGTGCAGGTTTAAGCCTGATACAAATGCACCTCGTGCACAGTTAAAGATGGAAAGGTACATGCAGCACTCAAGAATTTCCACCTGAATGCCCTCCAGCTTTGTTAACTGCTCTGAAGTATGCCTGGCACTTGAATACACATAAGAGGAAAGTTAGCACAATATCTAGCTTCCTTGTAAAATGCTGCTTCATATTGACAATTGAGAAGGCTGAGAATTTGTGTGATGACAATTTTCAAAATTTGACAAGGTGTTACTTGGCAGTTAATAAAAATTGACCTTGTTTTACTCAATAAATCATCCCAAATCCTAACCTCTAATCTCAATGTTTATGAAGAGAGGAGCTTCTTTCTATCCATGTTCACAAGTTGTTGAGATAAGAAGCTGCCAAGTGAGGAATATCATGATGGTTGCTTGACCTGTGTCCAAATTGCCACTTCTGACATGAACTTGATCACTAAAAGGAAATCCCAGAAACCTGAAAAAATTATATTTCTGCTAGACATAGTTATTTAGCCACAGGAGAAGGCTGCTTTGGTGAGATTTGTGCTGAAACTGGATTAATCATTAGTGCTCAATGGAAATTTCAAAAGCGAGTTCAAGAAACAGGCAACCTATAGGAATCTTATTCAAAGCTGGGTTCAACAGTTTGTATAGACTGGTGACATGAATAAAAGAAAACCACTGTGAAGGAGAAAAAAAAATCAGAAATGTAATTTAAGCCATTCCAAAAGATCACCTCACAAATGCTGCAATAGCAAATGGTCATCATGTGGAGGTGTATTAAACTTTGAGAGCTTGGTATTGCATATCACTTTAATTTATTTCTCATGCACTTAATAAAGTTAAGACATTATTTTTGGATGGAAGGCAAGAAGTGGCCCAATGAACATGTTTCCTGAAAGGTTCAGATCAGGTGAAATATGACAAGGAGAGGTAAATCTCATGATCTCCTTCAGTCAAACTTTGCCAGGCAAGATTTATATAGAATAGATCACAAGACCTTGAAAGAGAGGCGCATCTTTTGAAAGTCCCGTGAAGATGCTCCAATCAACCCTTCAGTGTCGAAAACCACGGCCTGAAGTTTTGCAGAGTAAGCTGCTCTTGCACCTCGGGTACCAGGCTCTTGAGAGTCAGACGTTGGGAAAACCTCGGTCCCATCAAAGAAGGCTTTATTCAATGTGTGAGACTTCCCAGTTCCAATGTTCCCCACTATGGACACCACTTTCATTTGAGCATCTTTGGGACTACCCAGCCTCTTCCTTAGTGAATTCTCATCCTTCACCTAGAACAAACCAAGTTTATCATAAATATGAGGTGTAACAGCAAAGATGATGCAGTAAGTTGGGTTGCCTGAATATTATGCATGTGGGGGGGGGGCCATAATGAAACAAGTGGGGAAACAGGCACATTATGAAGATGTCATTATTTGTCAGCTGAGATAGTTGGTTCACATCCAGTTGATAGTTCAAGGGACAGCCAAATGGGTCCAATAAATGATAAATCCTTAAATGTCGATTGGTTGCATGCCTGAATGTAAATGAGGATAACTTTGAACACCTGTAGGAGATCCAATCATGTAAACAAGCAGTTTAGTAAGAACATTTTTGCTTAATATCAGCAGAAAAACCACCAAATCAGAAGTTTCTTTCAACTCATAACGTATATTCATGTTATAGTTTAATAAAATTGAATGCATCATTAGGCCTTCATGTTACTTCTTACTCTACTCAAGAAATAAGATTCCAGCTCAAAATATTACTGTCAATTGGGGGCTGTGGTAAGCAGAGGCACCAGTATTTTAGGGGAAAACATGACCTTTCTTTCCTCCAGTTCAATGTTAGGTATAGGTTTTATCACCTGAGAAAGGGTAAAGGGATTATTACAACATTGGAATTTTTCTATCTTCTGTTATGCAAAAACAATGGCCACAAGGCATATTCATGGATCACAGTGAGGGAAGGGAGAAAATATCCAGTGATACTTTCTGTATTCTATTCAAGAACTGTTCACCTACATGCAATATCTTATTAAATAATTTATTTTCTAGTTGGGATGTCTATAGCTGATATGAGAAATTATGCACATTAAAAAGTCAAGGAAAATTAAAACTGACTGGTCTCTGGAGTTGTTATTGTCTTTTTCGAAGGACATGTTTAGGGGGTATTTTCACATCATGCAAGATGCATGACAGAGCTGTACTATAAAAATGATCAAATTTCAATATTGGTATTAAGCACAATAATGACATGCAACTTAATGAGTTCAATAAGAATATGATAACCTTGATAAATGACAATATTGGCATGAAAACAGACGAAGGCATTATTGCCAATCGCCTCATTAATATACAACGCAATCCATAAGTATACATACAGGGTTGGGAAAAAGTGAGGGAACATAGGAATTTTGGGGGTATTTCATTTTTAGAGTGGCTGTAAGAAAACAGCACATGGATATTAGTGTTGCAGTTGTTTTGCTTTTGGTGGACCTTAAAAGGGCTGTTGGTTTCTTCACAGGTTATGGTTTCTTACAGTAGTTGATTAAATTGGGTACCACTCTAGACAGTAGTACAATTGATTTTCAAAGTCTGCATGTATGCTTCATAGTGTTTATGTTGTGATTTCATTGCAGGTTGTAGCAATTTTTGGTTAAGTTCATCGAGTGAGGGCAGTTAGGTGTGATATACAACAGTTTTGAGATAACCCCTTAAAAATAAATCCAGGAGTTAAATCATGAGATCTGACCAATCACTCAAATAGCCCATGATGTCCAATTCATTTTTACCTTTTTTCCTTCAAAACACTCAACCCTCAACTTACCAGGCCAATTAGGTCTATACGAGTCAACCTTGGGGTTTTCAAGACATCTTGTATCCTGAAAAACCAGGATTCAGTGTTCATTGCAACCTCAGAGTTGGAGCTTCAAATACCCTGGAGCAACTCTGTGATGAGCAGGCATAAAACATGCCCAATTTTGTTCCTCCAGATGGTCTCAGAGAGGAAAACAAGGAGATTGAACATTGTAATGGGAATGGATTGAAGAATGGGAATAGGTGCTACCAAAGTATATTGATGCCAGATGGGTGAAAAAGAGGTACAAACATATGCTTCCATCTAGTGGTCACTTTGATAATTAAGTCCCAGGAATCCCTATGTTCTCTCTCTTTTGCCCCACCCTGAATATACGGGGGATGAGAAAAAAAAAGAAGGAAGTCATTGAGAGGCAAACCTTTAAAACTTCATCAGTACTTATGATCTCATGACTTTTTACAGCATCGTTCTTTGCAGACATAAGAGCGACTGAGGTGGGTTCATTTTGTAGAAATATAGCATCAACACTGGGATGATAGACTGAGGAAAAGCTCTTCTCTTCATGCACAGAGCTACAGGATTCCATGATGCAGGTACTCAGCTGCTCCTCTACATTGCCATTCATCACAGAGCCCATTTGGGGTTCATCTTCCTCTTCGTCACCTTCATTCATGCTTCTCTTTTACTCTGTGGAAATGCGTAGGACACAATCCTGCAAAAAAGAACAAAGAAAGCAGTAGCAATCACTCATTGACAATAATCAAATGAGCAAGAAGGTGTTCAGTGTAACTAGGGGTGGCCTTTGCCTAAAGGCAAAGGTTGGGAAGAATCACTTCTCCACATCCCACACTCAAGAATGAATAATCAAAATCTGCATGCAACAAAAAAAGAGTGGAAAATATTCATGATGTGACAGGACACTTTATACCGGTACCATATTTAAAGCTGGCCAAATAGACAAGTGCCATGTACAAAACTTCATCCATCACAGTCAGAAAAGGAAGATTCAGATCAATCTGTGCCAGATGCCCATCCATTGGAAGATAGAAACTGATGAACACTCTTCAGCAGTGGCTTATCCATGGATCCAAGGCTTCCTGTGAGGCCCTTGCCTTTCTCCAATTGGTTCTACATTGGGAAATCAGGAGAAAGCTAAAGGATTCAAAAGCATTTCTTGTGTGTCCATTTACTGTACCATTCACATGCAAAAGGAGCCATAAAAGCTCTAAAGGGAATTAGGACTGTACCATTGGCCACATTTGGCCACTTATAATCTCCCACTCATTGGTGGATGCTGATGTGAATCAAGAAAAGTAAAGAGTGAAGAACCATATCAAATACTTACTCAAACAGGCATTTGAAGAAGGCACACTCTACTTATTTTTCAGGCTATCACAATGACTAATTTGAAAGTCTCAATGTATTGACCAGAATAATTGGAGGAGCATCAACCTTTGTTCCAATGGATCTCATTCTGTCTCCTCTCAGATGTCTTCCAACATCTCCTTACTATAGTTGGGGTAAAGTTGTATCCATTGCATTGGATGATAAAACCATCAATGTCTTCAACTATTGATAGTAACATCAATGCATCTTGACAGCCCCCCCCCCCTTTTTCCCTATTGCTGTTTAGAATCATTTACCAAGCCACATTCATATGCCTATGCCCTATTTGTTCCTTTTCTTCAATAGCACCTTCTTCTTTGGGCATTGGGATTGACAGCTTACAAACCTACCAATAGTCAATGGCAATAATGGTGTCTAATTGATAGCTAATACCAATTATTGCCAATGCATCAGTACAACCCTAAAGGATATAAATATCATGTTACCTTCAGTACCACTGTCTTCAGAGTGATATACTGGGATGGTGTAAGAGAAAGGCTATCACAGAATCCCTTTTCCTTTACTGATAGAAGGGATGAGCTGGGCATCAGGGATTCCATTTGGGTGCATTGGGCAGATGTGGGGCCGCTTAAGGGTGCACATTTTCTTGTGGTTGAGTCGTATACGGGACTTCCTTCGCTGTGAGGCAACACACCCCCATCATAATACTGATGATCATAAAACCCACACATAGACAAAGATGAAAGAAGGTCCACTCACTTTCTTGTGAGGAGTGGAGAGAGTGGGTGGGGGATGGTGCTGTGGTGATTGCTGTTGTTGCTGTTGATGTTCGATTCTTGGAGAGAGGATGAGTCCTCCTGGATGAAAGGGAAACATGCTCAGCTGGCACAAGGGGAAAGAACATGCAAGAAAATGGCATTAGAAGACTCCCATCTTCACCAAAACCTTCACCAGATGAGTAACAATATCCATTTCTGAACAAGTTGCTTATTGCTGTCGTGCTGTTAGTGCAAGTGATTCAGAGAATGGAGACTCATCATTTTCCTAAATGGTTTCTGACCTTGGAAGATAAAACATTGCTGCCTAATGATTCCAATCTTTGTATGCTCACCTGCTTCTTCCCTTGTTTCTCTTTGCGAAGTTGCCGCCTGTATCGCAGTGCTTCATATTCAATGCATTCTAATTGACTTGTTATCCCATTCCTCCTATAGCGTAGAAGCTCCTGAATCCTGACTCTCAAGTCACGCTCCTCTGAAAAAGACAACATGCAGTGCTAATGATGCAAGTGTCAATCAGTGTTGATTGTGATAAATCTATAACTTATACCACTTACTAATGAGACTTTGAACCAGCTGTTCATGCTCCTCAGATGCCATATACTGAGCCATACGTTCAACCTTTTCTTCAATGTCCCTTTCAGAATGAGATAGAAATCTTATCTAACTATACAATTCCAAACAAAAGGCAACCTCCAATGTCATTGTATAGATGAGTAACTTTCTCACTTAAACTCAGCTTGAAGTTTTTTCTTCAGGTTGGATACAGTCATAGGCAATTTCTCTTTGACTTCTTTTTCCTTCTTGGAGGTTTGAGGATTAAAGAACCTCTCAACCAGATGGTAGTCACGGGCTATCCTTCTCCTTCGTGCACGTTCACTCAATCGCCTTCTGTACATATCTAGATGTGTCAGCTTCAGCACTGTAAAGAGTATGGAGAAACTCCTCACTGCATTTTCTATGAATGAAAATAATATTCTCAATCATACTCATTTCCAAATTTATTAACACAAGAAGGATTAAGGGGTATTTGACTCCTTCCAGGTACATTTGGACCTGACTGTGTCCAATATTCCATCAATATTGGACACAGTCAGGTAGTTGCAGATATTGACATGTCAGACATTGTATATTCTGCTTCTCAGACATTACGTACTGAATAGTCAATACACTCATCATCCATTGGAGTCTGGGTGAAGAAATACACTTTTCCATTTCACCATAAGGCATAATAAATAACATCTACAAACCATTCTATCAAACCTAGCTTACTTGTGATTTGTCATTCAGAAGTACCTCAACTTATTTTTAGATTCACATTCACCACTCACCAGGTAAGGCCAAAAAAAAAGCACCACTCTGAAAAGTTGTTCACCTCTGAAACAGCAGCTAGTACAACCAAGTTCCTTTAATGCACAAAACTATCCATCCCTTAGGCATACAACATTTATGACCATTTACCTTAAACCATTTTGGCACATGAATGATTTTACAAAGCAACTGGAATTTCACTTTTTGCACTTGTACCTGGAAGCTGATGGGAGGACCTACCACACTGACTAGGCTATGGCGATGACAATTCTTTCAAGGATTTTTCCCTCTGCACTGCAGTATTTACAGAGCTATTTCTGACTCCTCATGTCTGGCCATTTGCAGATGTTTTGCATCCCAGGATTATCATTTTGAGAAACAATTACTTTCTACCACATGAATGCAGCTTCCTTCAGTTCAGCTAGTTTTAGTATTCAGTTCCTTTTCTTCCTCTCTAATAAACCGGTTTCCCACAGCTTCTGAATCAGTCTCTTAACAATAGGTCAACATTTATTTGATTCCTTACTTGGAAATAATTCTTTCAAAATTCTTACTCCACTACATTATTTTTCAAAGAGCAGCACTCATGGGCACTCTGGAGGAGCTCTGGTTTGAGATCGGTGCACTCAACATGTACCTAACACAATTTTATCAATATGTTTCCTCATGCAAAAATAAAATTTGAGCTGTCTGTGTTTTTCACTCCTGTACTAAAACTGGAGAAAAATGAACAAGAATTTTAAGATGTCTAAAGGATGCATGGAAGTCATGAAAAAAACTCAGTCATGCTATTTGCTATTTTATGAACTCCAAAGAATCTCAAAGAGTAGCACATTGTGGCTGTCTCACCCAGCATAATGATGCCAAAAAATGAACTGTTTTGACATTGACACTCCAGTCGGATATACAAGGTGTCTTGTAAGTCACTATGGCATTTAAAAAATCACATCTAATAAACAGTCAGCACAAAAAGGAAGTAACAATAACTGGATGATAGCATGCCATTTGGATTTTTTTTTCTTCAAAAATGGAGGTATTTCTGAGTTCCAAATGTGCCTCAAAATGCCCTCTGCCTATATCAATACATTTGGCATGAGGCTCAGCACAAAAAATAGCCAAAACTTCCTTTTGAACTCTGATGGGACTCTCAAAACCTCCAGGGTCTTTGAGAATCCCAGAGAGAGATGCTTTGTTGCTCTAGTATCAATTGCAAAGCCTTTTCTCATGAGAAAGAAAGCAAATTAAAATCAGCTGAAATTTTTTCTGTTTCTCAAGTCTATCTGAAAATAGGAGAGAAAAACAAAGTTTAGCAATTTTGCAAACGAGGATTCGATGGACACCTTTTTTGATGATTCAAAAAGGTGTACCATAAATCACCCTAAACAGGTACACCTTTCTAATATGCATTTGAAGAAATTTCAGTTTCAGCCTAATTCCAAGTCATTAGAAAAAAATTCTAAAGAACGTTCTTTCCATCAATACTAACTACAGTGACATGCTTCCTGCAATTTGGAAAATATTGCAGTTTGAAATGGTATAGTGACTTTTGGGACACCCTGTACAATACATGCAAAAATCAGACATTCCATCCCAAGCCTTCGCAAACCACAATTACTTTTATAATTAACATGCTGTGTCCAACCAAAGTACTAATTTATTAATTGAGACAGCTCATCTTTTGGACTACCACTGCTGGTTATTCAGAATTTAGGATGTAAACCTAATTCTATAAGTCCAGAAGTGAACAAGTAAACCAATGACCTACCTAAATCCAGTTCTTCATCTTCAGTCAGATTCACATACAACTGGGAAACCAGCTTCTCTGCATCATTGTCATACTCCTGAACAACATACAAGAGCACATGTTAATCTTGAAATGTGATCAACACATCAAATCTACCAACACATATTGAGAAATTCACCCCCTCATAATCATCTCGGTTGGGCATATACCCAAGCTGCATTGCTTCTTCGGCAGAAACATTGACAGGGGGAAGCCTCTCAGACAAGGATGGAGACAAGGGTCCATTATCAGAAGCAGTATGATCTTGGGGTTTTTGGTATTGACTAATCTCTGACCAAGCAGCCCGGCCAATCCGACCCTTTATATACCATGTGTTGAAGTGGTCATGACATTCTGGAAGAAAGGAATATGAAAGAAGCATGTAAGAACCTATGCTCAAATACAAACTAAGTAAAGAATACAGATGTTATTCACATAGGTAGAAAGTACAGGACCTGAGATTCATGCAGTTCACTCAGACCAAATTGAGTGAAACTTCCTGTTCAGTGTAGTAGGCCAAATTTCAGAGAATAAAATAACTTTAAAGCACAAAATCACTTGCACTTGCAACCATGAGGTTAAACTGAAAAGTTTACTCACCATCAGGAGTCTTTGACTCTACATGTTTGGAAATATCAGTCCAATTCCCATACTGGAACTGCTCAATGGCTTCGAGAAGCCTCACTTCTTCACGAACTGCCCATCCATCCCTTCCTCCCATGATGGGAAATGATGCTGCATCCTAGAGTAACCATGCACCAAGATTCAAATTGATCAATCACAAAGTGGAGAGCCTCAAGTTCTAAAGCAGAAAAAAAGGAAGGACTTTGTCTATATATAGGCAAGAAAGATGCCTCAGCCAAATGGAGTTAACGTCTTCACATCAAACAGTGTTGGCTCACTGAACCCATAAAACTTATTGAACACTCATGCTCCTATAGCAGGAGCAAGTGTAGGAAGGGTTCTTAAATCTGTAGTGATTGATGATCCAGAGATAAAGATAGAGCCATTTAACCATTATTGATTAAATATATGTCAAATCAGAAAAGATTTAGGAACCCTTCCAACATTTCCCCCCACTATGGGAGCATCAGCATTCACTGACTTAATGCCAAAAGCTGAGCCCAAATGTGCAGAAACAAAACACTCACATCAAACTGATATCGGTGGTCATTTCGATGAGGACCAATTTCCACTCCACACGAGAAGCACTGGAAAAAAAATTCAATTAGCAGGTGATATGGTAACATCTGTGTAATTTTGCCAGTAATACTAACTTAATGTTGACATAAAGGAGTAGTGTCACATGAAAATTCAAAAGCAGTCAGGTCAAATATAAGGTCTTGGACTAGAGAGGTTTACAGCCTGAATGCTGAAACCTGCTTAAGCTATTGGTCCTTCAAGAATACATAGTGGGGGAAAAGAGCTCTATTACTTAAAGGCCCCTTCATCTCCTCTAAATGAGGTCTGAGCATTTGGCCCAAAACCTTTCACACAGTTTATGTTATTAGCATCACTTTGATGACATCTATGGATGGGTGCTGTCCTGTACCCACATCACTGCATCCTGATCCCTATCTATAGTTAGGGAAATAAATTAATCCCTGACAATTTTTCAGGGTCATAAGAAAGTGCCCTGTTTCTTAGCCTGTCTCATTGAATCATATATCATTGGAAACAACAGGTCTCATAGAACATAGAGCTATCATCAAACTGAACAATGCTATTTCAAGCAACTGAAGGGTGAGAAGGAGGAGCTTTGGTAACTTTAGGGTTCAATGAAACAACTCACTTCCTGAGCAAACTCCACACACAGAGTAAATAAATTATGAACCTCTGTAGTAGACCTACACGAGGATAAGGAATACTTCCATCTGAATTGGAATTGTGACTCTGTCTGACACAGATTCAGAGGGCTAGTGAGTGTGACTCAACTCACAATTTATTTCAGGGATTTGAATACAGACTCAATTGATCCCTTTCCATTCACTAAGGAGAACAGCATAGTGGAGTCACCACTGGATGTCCAAGGTCGGTCACACAAAACCCCTGAGTAAGACATTTAATTGTAGTCAAATTGTATTATGCTCCTCAGACTTAGAGTTTACTTTTCTCGAATAAGACATTTGTGAAAGAAGTCATATGAATAAAATACAACTCAAGGTGCTGAATAAGTTTGTGGTGATTTGTTGACAAAAGCTTCATTATGATTTTTAAAAAAGTCACCATTAATGACCAAGAACAACTACCATTGTCCCTTTAGCATCTCTATGCATATCTGAAACTAGCTAAGGCCTAAATCTGAAATTTCCTGAATGGCAGAAAATAATTGTGTCTCAACTGCATCATCAGCTGTTTAACTTTTGGGTCCCAGTGGTCCAGCCAAGTATCAATCACAGTAACTATCCATGAAAAGAAAAACTCACTGGATCTGCATTAAACCAGTTCCAAATCTGTTGACTCATCATGATCCTATCACCAAGTTGAATAACGGACAACATTTGGGAACCCAGCATGCACAGACCTCTAATAGCCCCAGCTTTCCATGCAAATTGAATTGAACATAGCCCTTTGGGATACCTAAGCCCTATACAATTTCCCTTATTTTTATTCATCTGTCCTCCATCACTAGTATTACTAAGGTAGTGCAAGTTTCTTCTATCATCACCTCCAAAGGTCCAACCAGGTGATGAATACCTCCAATTGACTCTCATCCTTGTTGGAATTCAGCTGTCTACTTCTTTACAGTGCTATAGCAGGGTGAATAATCCTTATAAATGGTTGGCAGTTTCATATGAAAATTCTGTGATAACAACCCTTCATGAGATAGAAATTTAAAAAAATTCAATCCATCAACAAAATAATAAACTGCTACTTATGCATCAATTTCCATCCAGAGAAATCATGTATGATTATATAAGAAATGGGCATATATGATATATGGGACATATATGGTCTATCATATATGATATTATATGAACATATATGGGAAAATATAGATCATAGATTGCTACTGAAACAATGAGTATATGAGCATATATGGCAAGGCCATATAATAATTTTATAAAAAGCATGTATGTAAAAGATATGTTGGAGCAGATACGAAACTTTTATGATTTAATATATTTATCTATATACCTAGTATATGGTGAGGCATATATGTCACACCTGATAAGGTACATGACCAAATCAGGTATGAAACATAAATAAAATCATGACACTCTTGCAAGTCTCCCCAAAATGTCAAAAATGACTTCTGGAACTAAGTTGAAAATTGGCACTTCATTTGTTACTTCTGTGAAAATACAAAAACCATTCACTAATTTACTGAAAATGAAACATATTGGAATAAGTGAACAAAGATGTCCATATCAATTTCAAGTTGTACCATCAATCAGGATCTGTCAATTAGTACTTCCAATGAGAGAAGAAAAAAATGAAAGTAAAATCACAGCAGTTCCTTCACATCCCTTCCACTCAGAATTGATTTAATGTGTACTTCATAATGGAAATCATGAGAATGGCCTGATTATGTAGAAGTTTAAAGTCTCAGAGTGTGCCCTACTTATTTTCAAGTCCTACAGTTCCATAAGTGTACAGTGTATTAACATATACAGCCTTTCAAAACATGGTATAAGTAATGTATGGCTTACTTCATAAGGAATTGCATGCATGCCATTATGCAGCATTACAACCACCATTAAAAAGAGCAGCATAACCTTTCCAGCATGAAGCATGCAGTACTTGTAAATTTTATATGGAAAGGCCACAAAGTAATTGTTTTTCACACCATATGGCCATACCATCTAAATTATATATCCCATATGCATATGGTACAATATACATTTCCAGCAACATATATTTTTAAAATGAAAGCATGCATGCTGAGTGTGTATTCACAATATGTGAAAGTTCTTCATAAAAACCACATACTTAAACTAGGTGTATCATATATGCAGGAGTCCATCCCCCAAATTGTATAATTCTTTTATGCAGAAAATATATACTGCCCTGGTATGTTTAATATATGAATAACCCTTACATGAATCATATGCTCCAACTATATATGCCTGCTTATATGTGCATGCATATTTCAATACATGGTAAATATATGAAATTATAAGGCACAGATAATTGCATATAACTACCATATATGATCTTCCTGTATGGGTTAGCTACCAGCCTCAAACATCATAGAGGAAAATTGTGCTTGGGACACTCTAGCCTACACTGTTGTACTTGAAAAACCAATGGTCTAAGGTAGTCAAGTCAAGAATTTTTTGAGCAACCCTTGCATAATACAATCATAAATTACCAGTGAAATCAAAAGCCAGCTCTTAAGCATTTCTGAGGGGAAGAGATAAGGAAAATATAGGTTGGGCATTGTATGTCCTACATAAACTCCCCCATGTGTTATGTTTTGGTCTATATATTTGCAAGCCAAACATAAGTGAAGGACTGAGTATTAACCCTTCAATGGCAGATGAAAATTTAAGCCTCCAACCTCCTCCTGAAGGTATCTGTGGAGGAAGTATTGGCATCTCCTGGGTGTCAGTGAAAGGGTTAATTGGATTGCCTGAATGAATATGAGGCTAGCAAAATCAAATTAAACCGTTTAAGCCAAATTGTTTCATTATCTAATGATGAGAGTCAAAACACAGGAACAATCTTCTGCTTCATGATAAAATTGGCTGACTATGATAAAACCTGATCACTCAGGGAAAATCCAAAATTGTTCTAAGGGTGGCCTTCTAGCTTACTGCTTGCAATACCTCCATCTCCTCTCTTCATAACTACTGTTCTTCATTTTTCTATTGGGTTTTATTACCTTTCCCTTATGTCTTTTTTCGTCAAAGTTTTCCATAATCAAATTTACGCAAAAATTTATTTTAATACTGTTATATTTCATTAATTCATCTATTTGTCTTTCTCTTTTCATCATTGGCAATATCATGTGCATTCTCCTTTATTTTTGGTTGATTTTCTATTACTCTATAATTTTTGCTGCTTCAGGGACTGAACAGCATAACAAATAATGGGCTAATTTGTTCTTTCTCTATCTCTTTCCCCATTTTTACCTTTTGCTATAAGGTGGATCTATGGCCAATCTCCATTTGAGCACTTAGATATATTTTCATGACATATCCTCTTTTCATGCCCACTTTGCTGTTTGGTCATCAGTAGAGTATTAGAGAGTATTAATTCATTAAATCACATTAACCAATTCAAAAATATTTTGACCTTTACAACTATAACACTTATAAATTAGTATTGACACATGTTACAAAGGTGGTACAATATAAAACAATAATGGCAAAATCCAAAGTAGCATAGCCATTATTCTCTCTATATCCTCACTCCTTGACCCTTTTTGCACGTAAGAGCTGCCAATCCAAATGCTCATAACTTGGACATCAATACTGAATTTACCAAATACAATCCTAGCAGTCACTCCAGTTTTATCATTTGCCTCAACTAAGTTTTGAGCAGGTTCGAACCCTAATAGTTTGATGCTGTATGGAAAAGGGCCCCACGGAAACAGAGCCTCAAGAAGGCTAGGCATGGGGGAGAGGGGGGGTGAGGATTCATGGAAAAGTGCTACAAATACCAGAAACAGATGAACTCTTGCTTCTGGAGTCGTTTCTACTCATGGGTTTGCAGCATATTGCAGGCCAATCTCATCGTCCAATAAGGGCATAAGACCACAACAAGGCCTAAGCCAAGTTTACCATGAGCTCTAAGCAGCGACTTATGCCTAACAATAGACTATGACAGATCAGTGACTAACCGGAGGGCAGAGTCTGAATTCCTCATGGCACTGAACACATTTAATGTGAAGACCAGGCAGTTCTTCGTGACAGTACGTACAGAAGTACTTCGGAAACATAACTAAATCCACTTGGTTATTATGGGCTGCTTCAGGTCTATTCAACAAAAACAGTTACACCTGACATGAAATAGTCATTTTTACAACCATAAGCTGCGCAGCTAACTTGGCTTGGTGATCAGTCACCATTCGCCGTGTCCTTGATCATGATGTTAAGTGAAAACATCTGAATCTACTTTCATCCTTTGTTTTTTTCAAGCAAGAGTTCTTGTGAAAGCATTCTGGTCTCTCTCTCCCGGCCTTGAGAATATATAATCTCACATTTTTCGTTATTCGTGGAAGTACTTGGAGTTTCTCGGTGATTACTTTTTTATTATTACTTCATTTTCTAACAGAAATATAACTCTTTGGGAGCAGCACTGGGTGGCGGATGGTGTCGTAAGATGGTCGTCTCCATTGGACCACGTTGAACCACGTGATTGACAGTTGGAGAAGCTGGTCCCTGGGACACTGGGAACAATAGAGAAAGTTTGCGGTATTTCGACCAGTTTTTTCTAGTACTGTCTTGATAGTCTTAATTCTAAACTTTTCCTGATGTCGGCCTATGCATGACGTTTAAAGGAGACGAGAACTTTCAGGAGCGAAACAGTCTGTTCAGATGAATGTTGGTCAGGGGCGGCTGGTTAACCTTCCCCGCGGGAATTTATCCCATTGACTATCCGCATGTTTTTGTTGCAGAGAGTAATTAGACCCGTGGAGAGTAGGCCGGTAGGCCTAGGCCTAGGCCTGAGCGAAAGAACTAGCCTTAGCCTGATCCTAACCTTGGGTCAAGTGAAGGTTTAAAGAGAAATTTGCGTGAAGTCAGACCCCATGCCTTGGCCTAATACGCCCATCCAGCGTTTCACCTATCGTTAAATTACGTTAAGTAAGGCCTAGCGGTAACCAGTAATTATGGAATTCAGTTGACTTTTAGGCCACATATATGGAGTGATCATGTTATCAGTTACCTCATTCTCTGTGTGCAAATGATTGCCCAGAGTGTTGGGAGTCATCTGGCTGACTCTGCTTTGAGGACAGTTGACTGGCTGTACCAGGTAACTTTCAGCTGGACAGACCCCAGGAGCTCATGTGGAAAGTTGTAAATATATTTATAAGTATCTAGTTCATTGACTTAGCTAGGGAGACAAGGTGGACATGAGATGAAGATCCTCTGCTGAGAGGAGCAGGTTGTCACAAGAAGTGCAACCCATATAAATGAAAGTGTAATCAGGTGTGATCTATACACAGTCATGTTCTACAGCTGACACCTTCACTATGAGAGTATTTATGGAGCTGTGTGTGGTATGGCTCAACAAACCTGCCTCTGTGGCGAATGAAGTGTCCGAATTTCAGCTGATTTTGGTGTTGCCAATTTTCTTGCTTGGTCCCAGATATTATCCAAGCATTCAAGATGTTGAATTGCAAGTTTATGCTTTGATTAGGACAGAGGAGAGTGCTATTCAATACTTGCATGAGCAGGGAATCTTAGCAGAGGAGAGTGCTGCCCCTCAGTATACACAATGCAGGAGTGACAAAGCAAACTCTTCTACAGGAAGAGGAAGATTCAAGATTCAAGATAGTTAGTGATATCAAGAGGCGATTTCGCCCATTTCGATATCACGTGTCGAGGTCGAGCATTCCTTAATTTTAGGGTAGGCTATACCCTCTTAAAGCTAAATATTTTTGTTGTTGGTTTTTTTTTTTGTTATNCTGGATGCAATATTCCAACTGGGGTCTTATCAGCACCACATACAACGGAAGAATAACGCGAGATGTCCTACTTGCAACCGAACAACGAATGTAACCTAGAATCCTGTTGCATTTGGCCACTGTCACTTGTGCATGCGAGGAAAACTTGAGGTCCTCATCAATAGAAACCTCTAAATCTCTCTCACCGTTTGCCTCATCCAATTTAACATCGTTGAACGCGTCGAGAAACCTACCGTTGTTTCGATTGACGTGGAGAACTTTACACTTACTTTTATCAAACCTTATGAGCCATTTCTTGCTCCACGTATCCAAAAGACTTAGATCTTGCTCGGCTCTAGCCCTATCCGCCTTCTCCCTTATGATAAAACCTATCTTGGTGTCGTCGGCAAATTTACTTATCTTACCCTCTATGCCGAGATCCAAATCATTTATGTAGACCAAAAACAGAAGCTGTCCAAGGACCGAGCCTTGAGCCTTGACTCCAACCTCCTGGCAGGCAGGCAGGCAGTATTTTAGCTTCATTCATTACACTTAGGTACACATGTAGGGGTTGTTGAATGTTTCAGTGTTAGAAAGTCTAATGCATTCTTCACATAAATGGGCTTCTGGCCTGTTATGACTCATATTCAAGGCTACACTTTGACAAGGGCTCAATCCTGGACCAGCTATTATTGGTTGTCTGTACTTCATTTGTTGTGTTTATATTTAGGTTTTGTATTTAAAATCAATAATAAAACATTTCTGATTACCTTTTGACAGTGGCATTCATACCTGCTTGCACATGATAATGGGGTTCAGTATAGATCACACCTGATGTAATTACCAATCAGACCATTAGATGTGAAACTAGGCCTTTGCAATACTTTTCATTTGGGATTGCCATTGCTTCACTGAACTCTCAATTACCTGGTGCAGGAGGCACTTTTCCTAATTACCATATAAATAAAATCATTTTTTTTTGTCTGGTCTCAGTGGTCTTAACACATTCCTAACTGTTGGCAGAGATTTCCACTCTGTAGAATTATCTTCTCCAGATTGCAGTGAGGAAAGTGTTAAAGACCAAAGCCTGTCTTGAGCCTGTTGGCTCAGAGGAAGTTTGGATAAGCAATAAAGTTATCAATTAAAATTTGTTCCATTGTTTGTCATTAATCCCATTGATTCTGCAATAAAGAGTAAAGATATATACATAATAAATTTGAAAAGCACTTAACTCACTGTAGCCTTGGCTCTCTTTTAGACTTTCCTCTGGGGCCTCTTTTTAACTAATTAGTGGTTATACTATGTTTTAGCCTAACATTGAAGCTGACTGAAAATTGCTACAGTACAAAGGTAGACAGAAGGGGAAAATGTGGTAACAGCATTGAAGACAACTATTTCTCTCATTTCACCTGACATCTTCAAGCCAGACCCACTTTTAATTGGCATGGAGAAATTTGAGGAAATGAAAGATATTGCCTGCATAGAAGAGGAAGCCAATTTTGGCTCCACTGACATAAACCAAAGTGATGATTTCAAGGATGAGGAACACCTCCATGAGCATCATGGTGTATCACAGCCTTCAAAAAGTGCCAGTGGCCTAGCAGATGCTATGGCGAGAATTCTTCACTCAGATATTCATGAAAATGGAACTGATGTCATCCTCAAGAAGAAAAAGATCAATGACTCTACAATCCAGAATCATAAACAGATGAAAGAAGAGTTGCAAGTTACCACTTCTTCAGGTGTACAAAGACAAGAAACTATTGCAGTCGTGTCAAGAGATGTCACGAAGCACAGGGAGTTCTTGGAGAGAAAGAAGCAGGTACTCTATGCTAATCTTTATTTACATGACTTTACTTGCTGTCAATTTTGGACAGTTCTTGGAGATGAGAGGACTGTTGGGCTGGAGACAAGTAATTTCAGTTTTGTCTAGTTAGCTGTTCCTCATGACCTTAATTTAGAGTTTGCCATTTCATGAATCTCTTGTTAAAATTTAATTCTGGAGATTTATATAAATGACTTCAATTTCAATGCTATTAAATTGCACAAAAGCATTTAGAGCTGTATCTAGAAGCCCTACCAATTCTACAAAGGTATGCTTCCTTCTCTCACCAAAAGGTTATTCATTAACTATTGTAAATGTTCTTTTTTCAGAAAAGAGCCCTGCAAAAATTGGGGAGGGTGAAACCAGACTTAAATGATCGAGGAAAAGAGAGAGAACTGATGAGGATTGCAACAAGGTGAGAGTTAGGTCTAGAAACTTCATTCTCCCTATGAGTAGCTTGCCCAGAAAATCTCAATGGGGGGGTTGACATGAAAAATTGGTAACTCACCCTGCATTTATGGCCAAATTAAAATTTTTTTGAGAATTGAACCTGTAAAATGTATCCCAATGGTTATGATCCCCACCCCCCCCCCCCCCCTTTGGTCACGCTACTGCTCTCTGCATCATGTAATGAACTTCCTTTTAAATTCTTTCCCTGTTAGAGGGGTAGTACAACTCTTCAATGCAGTTCGAGAACATCAAAAGACACTGAAGAAAGAGTTAATGAAAGTCGGAGCCTCAGAAGTTGCAAAGGAAAAGGTTCAACGCAGCATTAATCATGACAAGTTCCTACAGCTCTTGAACAGAGCAGCTGAACCCCAAGTAAGCTCAATCCTCATGAACAGGACTCCTGTACCTAAGTTGAAGTATTCTGTCTTATGAGATAAAGTGTTTCTGTATCCACAGGCTCCAGTAGGAAGATCAGTGATGGCAACATCAGGAACGAACTGGGAAGTGCTCAGAGATGACTATATGATTGGTGCAAAGATGCGTGATTGGGAGAAGGAATCCTCTGGAGAGGAGGAAGAGAAAGAATTTGAAGATATTTTAATGTGACATGAATTAGGCCAATTTCATGGGTGTTTGTATTCTTAAGAAAAAATTCTGTTGTTGGGTACAAAAATGAGTATAATTCATGCATTAGATATATTACACTTGAACAGTCCATGTCACCCAAACTGATGTTTAAAATGTTAGACAAGGCTACCATTCAAATTGCTAAGTTCATTCAGACACTAAGTTAGTAGTGCCTCAGGTGGATTTTGTAGTCCCCAAGGTATAGTAATAAGATTTGAATGAGCTTGGAAAGCAGCAAGGGTTCATATTGGAGTTTGAATATTTTATGTTCATCATGGAGGAGGGCTTCCAGAGGGGAATTCTACCCATTATCATATTTGCTTTAATGCTTGCAAGGGGTCGTGAAGAAGCTTTCCTTATGTTCAGAAATATTCAAGCTAAACTGTGATTTATTTTAATTGGTCTATGATCATGATATTCAAGAGTCATGATCCTGATTTCTGTCCTCCTGATCTGCAAAGTAACAAGCAAAATATATACATGTCCAGAAAAAGTCCTGGCTTTATTAAGAGTATGAATATGAAAATTTTCCTTGTAAAATCCAGTTGATCTCCTCAAGACAGAACAAGAACAAGCATTTGGGTCATCAAACATGCTCCACTAGACTTCAGAGCATGTCATCATTCACAGCTTGTTCCATGTGCTTGCCCAATAGTCTGGACTTACTAAACATTACTGACTTTTATTGCTTTCTCTACTGCTGCCATCACCCCTTTCATATCAGCATGATCTCCAAATTCCATTTCACGATGTTCATACAGAATGCCTTTTTCACCATCACCAATCACAAACACACCTGTTGAGATTAATTCAAAATTATTCACAAATTCTCAGTTTTTGCTGAAATAATGATGATCCAAAAGAAATTCTCACCTCCCATGAGAGAACCATCTCCTTGAAAATTGTTGTCAATGCCCTTTTGACTTGCTTTCCAGAATTTTTGGTATAGTGACAGGCGAAGCAAACCCTTGAGCAGAACTCTCCTCTCCTTGGGACCATAGAACTTTTTCTATAATTAAAAAAAAACTTCACTGGTGACCTGAGAACAACTTTACATCATATGTATACTTTGTTGCCCCCTGTTCTGGATATCACAGAAGTGACTGCGCTCTGCTACTCCAACAGCACTCCAGTATCTTTCAGTTGAGTTTGACAGGTTTACACAGGCAGTAACGACTAAAAATATAGTTATCTGGGGGCAAGAAGCATGTTGGAGCAAAATGAAAAAATTGTCAAATCAACAGGCATCCAACACAAAGTCTCCCATCAGAAAAAAATTACAAATTGTATTGCTGTTGTTGGCAGGACAGGTGATACAAATTCTGCCCTCACACTATTTATTTCAGCTCGATCAGAAGTACAAGCAGACTTTTTCAACCTAATTACGCAAGTGTTTCCTCTAAATATGAATGAACAGTGAATGTATTTTCCTTTCGATTGGCATAGACCTCAAAAGGATGAATATCGAGCTGTTGGTGAGGGGTGGATTTTGAGCTTAAGGGGGTTGGAATTCATAAAACCTACCCTACTTGGCAGAAAGGATGAAAAATAGGCATCTTATGGGGAAATCTTCCCAAAGAGGCATACTTTAATAGAATGAAAAGCTGGTATTCAAGTAAAATTCATGTTTAAATAAATACTGAAAAAATAACACTGTACTTTTATAGTATAGTACCAATAGGTGATTATACAGGGTGATTATAAAAAACTTCTGCACTTCACAGCTTAATATCTCAGAAACTAGAAAGCTGGAATTCCACAGGGATGTTACGGGGACCACGTGCTCAAAGATGCCATAGTTATCACAATTATGATCAAGGGTGCCACTATGACCTAATGTCTCACTAACCACAGCAACTGTTCAATTTGTGCTCCTGTGTCCAGAATGCATAACGAATAAGTTTCTTCAGAGGGACTTCAAAGTTCTAGTACTGGTAAAATCTGTATCTGTGAGTCTTCTGAAACAGGTTCTAAGAGTACACAGCACACTCACAAACAAAATCCATATAACTTCATTCAGAGACCAGGATGTGGTTATATGGACTTGCTATGAGGTTTTTCAGCTGTGCCAAGGATGGACAAGATTTTGACTCCCAGATATGTGAATCAGCAAGACCCCACTTCATATGTGAATCATTGTGACCTTGAAGCATCAATAATTAACCATGCAGGCAATGATTTCATATACAGATGCATTGATCAATGAAATCAGGACCCAAACTTCCTTACTTTTGCTGTTGGGGTTGGCTGTATATGGATTTTGTTTGTGTGTGCTGCGTACCACTAGAACCTGTTTCAGAGGACTCAACAGAGCCAATCTGTACTAGAACATTGCATTATAGGCTGTTTTGGGCTTAAGTGTGGAAGTTTCTTTTTAATCACCCTGTATACTGTAAAATAATAATAATTCATTGTTTTCTCTGAGCAACTCATGACACCATATGCAGGCTTCTGGAAATTATGAATAAAAAATTGGGCTTTCAAAGATTTTTTTCATTTTTGATATGAATAAAACACTAAGAAAGAAGGTAAGCATTCATCACATCACAGAATAAGTCTTGTTTCAACAAGGAAAAAAAATTGAGAGATTTCCTCAATTAAAAATTTCTAGGTTGGTAATTAGTTGAACTAGAACTTTCAGATCACTCCCTGCAGTGGAAAATGCCTCCAGCCTCATTCCTAGTTTTTTTTTTTATATTCCTAGGTGATAGCTAGAGATTTAAATAACAAAAGCACAGAAGGTATTCTTCTGTACCTATTGGTATCTGACTGTTGTTGGTCTGCAAACACATGGCTTGACAGGAAGGTGTACGTTTTATTAATGAAAATGAGGCTTGAAACACTAGTATGCCTGTTTTTGCTATGATGAATCTTTTTGGTCTGTGTGCCACAAAGCAAAAACAATGAGTTACTAGGGTATAAAGTGCTAGTCTTTGTCTTAGGACATATCCAGGAATCCAAGGGATCCACTGCTATGACGGGGGGGGGGGGGGTGGCAGACAGAATCAGCCTGGAAACCAGTTGGAGGAGTGGAGAAGAGGGTTATAGTAGTTCTTTTGTCCATTCCCTAAACTCAGCATTTGCTTTCATCATCCCATGAAATGCCTTTAGGACACATGTTACAGGTGGGCCACTACTAGCACATTTTATTACTTTTTACTTAGCCTCTTTTTTTATAATACCTCTCCCATGCAACATGGTTGAGCATTTCTTTGGTTAGCCCTATACAGAGTTTTCACTAAGTCCCAGATGACTTTTTAAAACTCATAACTTCTTAACAGTTATCTCAAATTAAATGACCACCAACCAAAGTACAATTCATTTATGTTTTTCCCCCTTCCAATGCAATTGACAAGAGCTCTGTTGGTAGCACACCAAACGTCAAGGTGATGCTCTACTTCCATCCACACTCGGCTCAGCATGTCTGGCATGATTTGTGATGCGATTGTGGTGCAGATTCAGTTCATGCACATTTTGCACTTTTAAGGCATAGACAATGTTGTTCACATAGTTCCAGAGGAAAAAATCCAGATGTCAGATCAGACCACGGTGGCCAAAAAGTGAGCCACCTATGCCCAATCCAGCAATCTGGACATTTTTGGTTGACCATGATGTTGTTTGAGTTGTTTGGTTGTCTACCATCTTGCTGCAATTTGTAGGTCTGGAGGTGGAGACATTTATGAAGCACCTTAAGGATTGTCAATCTTGGTATCTCTCACTGGAGGCTACATCAGATAGATTTTTTGGGTTATGAGCAAAGGATTCCTGGATATGTTCATTGTTTCTAAGGTTCTTAGTCTCCCTGATCTTTGTCTTTAACACTTCCAATTTCCTTGAAATTTTTACGTATTTTACACCATCTTTTGATTGAATTTTCCCTTGGTGGCAGCTTGTAATTCATGTCTATTGCTGGTAACAATCAAATTTTGCAAGCTAAAACACACAATAAGCCTTTACTTGGAGCAATGCCATAACTGAAAATGCTAGTCTATGACATCTGGTGAGAAACATGTGAAATGTGTCAGAAATTTTTACCACCAAAATTGAAAAAAAAGTCAATAAATTTCACTTCTTTTGTGGCAGTCTTATTTAATTTGAGGTAATGGCTAAAAAGTTATGAATTTTTAAAAACCATCCAGGACTTTTTGGACACTATATCATTAATGACTTGAAAAAATCTAATATGCCAATTTTCATGTGGGCAAGAATTCACTTTTTTTTATTGGACTGCAGAATAAGAATGAAGGAATATTCAACTTTGCACCAGAAAGCTGTGAGTCTCACCTCTCTTTAGAAAATGTGAACATTCTTTAGTTATCAATATCCAGGTAAAGAAAATAAAAAGAATTCCTGAACCTATAAATTTTACAAGTTTTCAAATTGCATATTAGCTCTCAAGTCTCAACAATAAGTGAAAAATAATAAAAATAACTCACCTCCAAATCCAAGAAGACATCACCCTTGAAGTAGTTCTTGAACTCCTTTACCCCAAAATCTTCATGCACAACAGCATACAAAGAGACATTATTCCCATCCAGCTGAGGACGGAGTGAGGAAAGCTCAGCAGCTTCCTGAAGTGAAGATGAATTCAAACATGTTAGGGACAAGTTTCCTGTATTGTGGTTCAGTAATTCTAATTTTGCAAAAAAGAAGAAATTGCATGCCCATAGTAATATAATACAAAGCTATTTGATTTTTTGCATTGTGTGGGGATAGTTTCATGAATCTATGGCTTTGTTTAATTTTGTTCAGAACAAGATGGAACAGAGTTCAAAGAATTGAATTCTTGAATTTTATTTATTTATTGATGGTAGCCATTTGCAATAGCCCATCATAGACTCAAATGCTTTGATCCTTGTGTCCTATAGCCCCTCATAGAATCAACTGTTTTGAACCTTGTGTCCTGCTTCATTTGCTTCATTTTCTTTCTCTCTAAGGCACATCACTTATGCCTATGCCAGATGCATCTTCAAAGTCACCCTTCCCAAGGACATCAGCAACTAGTAGTGATCATATCAGTGAGGAAGGCAAACAGATGAGAGGCATGTATATATTGTATGAGACAGCATCAGTGCCTTCAAGTTAGCCTAGGATAACAGTAAAATTCTTTCTGCCTGCAGAAGCAAAAGTAGGTTTGAAAGAGAGCTCACCTCTCTACACAAGCCTCATCCAGGCCTTCTCACAGCCATGATAACAGCACTATTCTTCTCCCATAGACTCTTGGCCATGAACTCTTGGCTTGATCCATCCAGTTTCATTAGTCTCGCAGATGATACCCATGCTAAGTTTGCTTTTTCAGCTGAAAATGAAATATTCAAATAAAGAAAACATGAAGATAATTTTGTAGCAGCCTTCATCCTCATTGCTAATTAGAGACAGGTGCAAAGCTGTAAATGCTTTTCAATGGAGTTCAATTATTGTCTGCACGAGTCCAGCATTTTAAATGTGAAAATGGAATCATTTTATGAAAGTATTGATTAGGCACCCAGCCTGCCAAAGGAGTTAAAAACTCCAGGTATAATTTAAAGAGTCAAACTCAATTGAAAATATGAACGGTAGCAAATACAAAGTTTTCTCACTACTTACTCCAAATCCTTGTGGCACCCAAGCAATGGTATTGCATTGAACTGAAAAGGTTTTCATTTTTCATTTCAGTTCAAGTTTAACTTGCTTGTGCAAAAATTGTGATTCCAAATCGGCCTATCATGTATGAAGACCAACTATTCCGTAATCCCAAATGAGAAATCTGTAACAATCTCCAAGCCTGATTCACTAACCTGAGGGAAGTACCCAGGAGGCAGGCAGGTTGCAATAGGCAAGGTACCCAGTGATGGCTCCGGCAGCAAGCCAGCCAATATTTCCAATGCCGAGACAAGTTATACCCATTCTCTGCGCCTTTCCAACTGCGAACCACTATGAAGAGCGCAATAACATCTCGACTTTCAGTTTTCGTATCCACAATTTCTTATCAGGCGGTACTCAGGCACTATCGGCTCCTAATGCAAAACAAGAATGAAATCATAAGATCTACGGCCCACCAGCTTAAGAAGGGGAGGATTTCCAGTGTTCTACAGGATGTCCGATATGTCAGGAACCATAGGTTTTTGTGGTCTAGCCTAAGGTTCCTGACACCCTGTACATCTCAAGAAAAAGTAAATTTCTTTTCTTCACAGTAAAAGGCAGATGTCGGAAGCAGTCTATCTTTTTCGGTGTGGGGGGCAGCCAGGTATCTACAAGAATGTAATTTTCTGGAGTAAAAAAAATTTCATGACGTGGGTTGAAAGAGTTGTTGCAGCTTGGATGTCTGGATTCTCGGTGGCATACCCCTGCTTTATTAAATTACCTGATCTATTTTCATTATCGGCACCTATGGGAATTGGTTTACAGAGAATATCCTCATCAGTTCTTCCCACTTCTCATGGTCACTCATTGTAAAATAGGTCTAGTTTAGTGGATCTGGTGCGTGTTACCTCCCACAGTGGTTGTGATGTACGGGGTCTTAAAAAAAAAAGTGTTATAAATCATGGCACGAAGCTGACGTCAATAGGATAGTAGGATAGAGGATGGTTCGCAACGGCGCAATGAGATCAGCCACGCCTGCGTGAACTCTGCCAGTTCCAGCTGCATGGGGAGTTCGGGCAGACGGGCAGGAAGGAATTTGGGGGCAAAGATGGCGGAGTTCATCGCCGACGCTCCTCTCGCCCAGTGTGAAACTGATCCCGACGATTGGCAGGATTTTGCCGACCATCATCAGACTCATTCTGTGAATACTTCTCATCAATCTTCACACGATAGCCATGGAGGGGACGATGAGCCATGCAACGATGAGGAGTCAGACAGTTTCGCCGAGACCCTCTCCGAATCCTTGGAAGACCTCGTGAATACGTTTGATGAGAAAATCACCAAGTGTTTCTGTAACTACTCTGAGAATGTCTCGAAAATGGCTCCTGTGCAAGTTAGGAGCCAGGAGGAGATCATGAACGACTGCCAGTGCGTCTTTTTTTCATATCCTGACTCATTTATGCTTGCTTCTCATTTTAAGTCAGCTTCGACGTTAGTCCTAGGCCTAGGAAAAATTATCTCCTTAAGTCAGTATTCCGAATACGTGCAGCCTCGTGCGCTAGCCAACAGCGGTACCCCGAGTAAAACTACCGGCTTGCGAGGTTAAGATGGTTGCTATGTGGTCATAGCATACATATTGACCTCTTCGGTTCCTGGTATTGAAACTAAGGCATATACACCTTTTCCAGATCGAATTCGTTCTAACCCCCTATAGTGGAGGAGTGGAATGAAGAAGATGCAAATTTCCAGAGATTCCACTTGATCGATTGATAAGCATAAACACCCATGTGTAGGATGTAACTACTTGTAATCAATGGAAGCGCCCCTATAGGGAGTTACGAATTCAATCCGGAAACTGTGTTCCGATGAGTTTACTGTAGCTGAACAGTTCAGCGTCACTTGTGCTAGCACCTCGTATTGTTAGGCGTATTTTGTTAGCAATGCTAATGATATCCGAACCGATGACGAAATTGGCTGTCACGATAACAGACTGAGTTTAAACACTTCTGCTGCTAAATAACATGAATAAAAATTGACAAGCGAAAACAAAGTTAACAAAAAAACGTTAGCTTCATTCATTCGCAATGTGGCTGGTTGTGGAAAGGCCTAGAGATATGCCTTATCTCCTTTCGTCATCACAGCTTCCAAAACTGAAGCACTCAAATTTGCCCTAACCGAAGTCTGATTCTAAAGAACAGATATTCGAAATTGAACAAGACCAAAATTAACTCAATTTCGTGGGTGGATCGCAGGTAGACCGTTGGTTCCATGCTTTCCGAGTCCGGCAAGACCTATAAATATATATAAATTGAGTTATTGATAACATAAAAATATTTAAGAGACACCTTGAATGAACCAGCTCATATGAGCAATCAGTTGCAGTGCAATCTCCAGAAGGTCATGCGAAAACGACTGGCCCACATTCCTTATTTTATCCCAGTTGCGACTGCGAGTTTCACAGTGGGAACAAGTGAGGTAGGATGAGGGAATCTCCCTCCTCAATTATGGAGTCTCCTTGATCATCTGCCCAAGAAAGAGAGGTCTCCTCCGCCCTTCATGGAAAAGTAAATCTCAATCTCGTGCCCTGGCCTGGGTTGAGTATATTACTTCGGATGTTTATCGATTTCCCGTCTCCAGTCGACAAATGGGCCAGCTCCTGTTGCTCTACGCCGCTTTTTTCTCGAAGCAAAATTCTCATTGAAGGCTGAATGCATGAAACAGTATCGCGGCCGCAACCGAGTCCAATCCGAGGACGAATGCCTTTCCAGATCACGGCCTTTTTGCTTCTCAAGCATCAAGATAGTACGAAGGACCCAGATAGAATCTCCGTCAGACTTCCTACGTGCCCCGATTTTTAAGGTTTCCGTCGTCAACGTGGCATTTCATAAAGGGGGCAAGATGGGTTGGAGGATATTGATGTTGGGACGGATCCCATCTTTTCCTGCTTGGTATTTGCCTTGGCATTTGTCCGTCTCCCGAGTCCCTGTCTATCGATCCCTGGGACTCGTGGGAGTCAGGGGGAATTCCCATTCCTGCTCCTCTCCCTCTGACGGCAGAGGGGGGTAGGGTGAGGGGAGCGGCGGGAACTGCCCCTTCGCACTCCGATGCCTTTCGTGGGAGAAACCGCGAATGAAAATTGTCTGTCGCAGAATTCAGGGACTTCCGTTGTGTTGTGACCAAGGGCGTGACGGCGGCGATTGGCCACTAAACCGGAATTATGGTTCCCTGCTTCTGTGTTACGTTGCATGTACGCTACCTTGTTGATCGACGACCGTTGGAAAGATATCAAGCCCTGTACATGCAAATAGGCCTTGTTGTAACGACTGCAGGCCGGCAAGGAGTCGCCAGTAGCATCGATTCTCAATGGAGTGGAGGGGAAGATGTGAGGCATAATACCCAGTATCGCCTCGGTAAGCAGGAGTTTAACGAACCTTTCGTGACGCATTCTTCCCCGCTTGAATAGACAGCTGGTCACCAGACCGTCCCGTACAATCGTTCTTCGTACCGTTCGTTTGGATTTTGTCGACAGAGAACTGCCTATGTACAGGTACTGCAGAACGGGATAATAATTTAAAAAAAAGGGAAAATAGGAAGGTACTCATTGAAGTGTGCTCGTGCTTGGAAGTTACAAACGAGATGAGACTCAGTCCTAATGGTCAGGCTTGTAATTGGATTTCCATTGAGGGCGTATGCAGTCCTATGCAGACGAGATGACCCTCATGAGGTTTCAGTTGGCAGGGTTGTTAGGAAGAGTGCTTCAAAGGCCTTTTGTACTCTACTCCTGATGGGATCGAAAGGGGAGTTCAGCACCACTTGCCGGGTTACGATATTAAAGCAGAGGGATTGGGATGGGCGGGGATCCGCCTTTTTCCTCTCTCTTCCACCTACAGTAATTCAATTCCGTACTGATAAGAGGTGTCCTCCAGGGAAATTCACACTCACCATCTCGTCATTATCTCGTCTGGGAATGCTAATGGGCTCCACCCGCTCCCAGATATTTATGGAAAAGAATCGCCTCATTTCGCAGGTGAAAGGAATCCTCAGCAGATATTGACAATATTCTTCCAGATTTGCCTTCCATCTCTGAATGTTTCTCCTCGCTTTCCATTATTTATGAAGGGGGAAACGAAAACTTAGCTTGATGTTGGTTGGCCTCCTTCCATTACACGCACGAACCTCAGGGGATCCGCGGAAATAATGAGTTCTCCTCGCGTAGTCTCGTCTGGTAATGTTCTTCTCTCCAGTCTCATTTCTCTTCATTATTTTCCCCGCATCCAGGATGTGGTGGACGATTACCGGGAACTTTGGGAACATCCTGCCGATCGACTGGACTAAGTCGTATGCGAGGAAACTCCACCTGCCGGCCCTCAACTTGAACGAGAAGGGAAATCCAAGTCCAGAGGCTTCTCCCAGCGACGATGCCCTCACAAGTGAAGACGAGGCTGTCGCGTTGGATCTGGACATGCATGCTCTCATCATTAATGGGTTCCAGCCTGAGCCCATCAAAGGAGCCGATGAAGTCATCAAAGAAATCGACGATCTCATGAAAGTGAGCCACTTTCCCAGGCCCTGAATACTTTTATTTTCTCGTGGGTGACTTGCCTTATCAAAACGTTTTCCAGGAATCCCACTGCAGTGAAGAGAGTGGAGTCGGGTCCGAATCCCCTGATCCCATGGACATGAGGAAGGACTCGCTGTCAAGTCCACTTTATAAAGACAGTGAGTCTTTCACTCTATAGAGGAATTGGCAAGTATATCGGCCTGACATTAACGGGGGAAAATAACATTTTGCTTGCTTAGAATTGGAAGGCCTGAGCATGAGTCAGTTGAATGAACTCTATGCGGAACTGGAGATGATGATCAAAGAATATTCGGAGACCCTAATTGACCAGCTGGCACTCAGGGATGAGCTGGAGTTTGAGAAGGAAATCAAGAATCAGTTCATCTCTCTCCTCCTCAGCATCCAAAACAAGAAACGACAGGCAAATACAGAGAAGAGAAAGTCGAGAAGCAAAAGCATCAGTGATGCAAAGGTATTGTATTGTATACTTTATTGTGATCTCTTCACTACAATCTTCGGACACACCCCAAGCTGTACTATTATCTGACATTATTCTAGTATCTGACAACTGTTATTCCATACCACATGGAGGATGGAGTGCCTGACCTAGGAACTCTCCAGGTTCTCATCAAAAGTGGGTTGCATACTCTTTCTGTGGTCTTCTGTTTTTAATGAAGTTATCGACTGATTGAAATGTGTTGTCCTTGTTTATTATTGACAGTTCTGAAGGCAGTGAATGATGACAGTCCAACTGTCCCAACCCTTCTCACTGACTACATACTCAAAGGTGAGTGATTCTCTAAGCAGGACTACTGTGCACCACTGCATTTTGGGTATAGGTATCAATGTTTTTTCTACCTCTTCCAGTGCTGTGCCCATCATGAAATGAGTCTCCATCTCATCAGAGTGATCAGTTGAAGCATCTTTTTAGCATCTCCTTCATTTTTTTGGCTATTTGCTGGCATCTCTAAAGTCACTTGGTAATACTCATTTTCTGGTACCTGCTAGAAAAATCATCTTGCTATTCACTGTAACTACCTTTGTGTCCAATACGTACTGCAGAATGACCATTTTACAAGCTTCATACCATGGCTGTTGTCACTCTGTTAAGTTTACTATGTGAACCTTATTTAATTTCTGCATTTTACGTATCTCAGTATATTTGTAATGAACTGCGCAGTGTTTCTACCACCTATGCCAAAGATATAAGTTATTTGAAATACAAACTGTGAAAATAAAGATTTCTATTGCACATTCCAGGCAGTGACAGAAGAAACCATTGTATCAAAAGAAAGTTTTTGTCAAGGAAGTGCCGTTATTGCTTCAGTATAGTCCTAGTCACTTGTGATTGATGTGTTTTGCTTATTTAATGCACATCCCAAGGTCTATCCTGTTTTTTTTTTTTCACTCACTGTATTTCTGAAATTGATCCCAGAAAGAACTCACACCTTGAATATCTCAGATTGGTTTTGCTAAGAAATTCTGATTCTAAGGGATTGGCAAGAGGCATGTTTGGTGGATCTTGGATCCAATCCTCTAATGGTTATCTCTGACCTCATCCTTATTTATAACATTACCCACAAGTATTAGGTGGGAAGGGGAAATTTTCCCCCATTTTTTGTGCTACTCATAATTTTTTTAAAGACATCAGTGTGAGAGAGAGGTCTGCAGCTATTGTTTCAGATGCTCCTCTTGTGATATCATGTGTTCCTCTTTGTACGAATGAAGTAACTCCTCTGTCAACCACCCTGTGATTTCTTACCCCTATTTGTAGAGTTTACATCATCTTTTCTCCATCTTGCTATTGTTTTCTGATACTGGTCAGTAGTTTGAGGGAAGGTCTTGAACCTTTTCACTTCCATGAATATTGGGAACCCCAAATGTTGATGTCCCTGCACAGTTACATGATGGTTTTCCCACCAGTTTCAGCTAGTTGTCTTGTATTTGGTTACATAGTTTGTCTGGCATTTCTCATGTAGTAAGAAGCTTTATTGAAAGTCTTCTGTTGTTCTTATCCATTGCATTGAAGAGGTATAATGTGATTATGTTTGTCTTGGAGAAAGTTGATACTGTTGTATGTCTGCACAACTGTGGCCCCACTTATGCACATCATGCTTGGTAGCTATAATAAAGTATCATTTTATATTTAATCCTTCAAAGGATTTCAATGATATGTATGATTGAGTCACAGTCCTGCTTCATTCAAGTAAATCTCCTCCTAAAAGTCAGGCAGATTGGATGCTACAGTCAATAGAGTATATGGTATGGTCATTCATGGACTTGATCGAGGATCCAGTTGAGATAATGAGTGACACGAGAGTAGACACCAGGAGTACGAACAGACCCACATAATGGAGTACCAAAGGAGACAACTCCAACGATAAAGAATTGTTGAAGCCCAGGATACGGTCTTGGGATCACCAATGGTCCTCCACTGTCTCCAATACAAGTGTCCTTTTCAGGCTCTCCTCCAGCACAGATGTGTTCCTCATTCAATTCCACCGTCTTGTAGATGGAAATGGTAGAACATATTGCCAATGGGACGATTGGTACCTTCAGCTGTTGCAGGACATCACTCCCATTATTTGGGCGGACTGAAAAACAGCACTCTCATGTTCTATATTGTTTGGAACAGAGGTACTCAGATAGAACTATGAAGAGATTTACTAATTTGCATGTTTATCCAATAATAGGAAGGACATAGTTAAAACTTAACCCTACTGCTGCATTGATTATAATGTTGTCAGTCTGCACCCAGAATATTCTGGGACCCACAGTACTAGGGTTAAACTCATACTTTCCATCCATGCCTGGAATGTCTCTTCATTAATGTTTGCATGTCATACTAAGACCAGAAAACATCCCTTTCCCCCTTTTTTTTTCTTGAGTGACACATCAACATGTATGTGTTATTAACACATGAAGCATGAAAAAAGCAAAAATCATACATTTTGAGGGAAAATATATGTGCTTTCATATAGATCATAACTTGGATTTGGAAGGATCGCGTGCTTTGCATATTCAAGGAGTTTTATTGTGCCATCATTTCAAGCACCACCTGTTAGACAAAGAGGAGTGCATGTTATGAATTTACTGTACCACCCACTTCCAAAATGATTCGGGCAGGCTGATTTTTTCTGCCAACTCTTTTATTTTTAATTTCACAAATAACTGGACAGTTTTAAGCCCTTGTCACGTCACGAAGTATTAGTGCCGATGCCCGAACCATTTTGGAATATGTGACGTTATTTTGAGAGTTAGTAACTTTTTATGTTTGTAATATCGCGATTTGCAGTTTTTTTGTCTGCAGTTAGCCCGCATATCAAAGTTGTGGACCATGTTGAGGTTCTTTGATTAAAACTGTCCAGTTATTTGCGAAATTAAAAATGAAAGAGTTGGTGGAGAAAATCAGCCTGCCCGAATCATTTTGGAAGTGGGTTGTATACTCTTCTCCTTGGTCATGAATGTGATGTGCTGTTTTTCTCCTTTTGTTGAAAGATTCTTGTACCTGGAGTAGTGCATCACAAGGTGATCACTTCATTAGTGTTATTTTAAGCCTGGTGAAAGTTGGCCATACTTATAGTGATCCCTAATGTTTTGACTTGATGACGTTTTGGCTTCACCTCCCATTTAAAAAATATTTTATTTATTCATTTAGTAAACAGTAGTTGAGTGGAAAAGATACCAATAAGCCTGCTAGAATAAGAGTATGGATGAAGTCATTAAAACCAGAAGTGCAGGAACAACTAAACCTTGCGAAACAAATCCTTATTTACATACCTGTCAAACGTAGAGGGTGACAAATCAGTTATGTCCCTATTTTCAAAGTGAGTTGTCCTTGAGTGAGCACTATTTACGGTAGCCTATATACTGTACAGGGTGTCCCAAAATTAAAGTCCCAAAAGTAAACGCGCGCCATCCAAGCATCGTTAGACGGAACTCCACAAAAATTGGCGTGTATACGGGGAATATCATCAAATTTTACTTACCAAACTACCAAATCACTTCATCAGCTCTGCATTGATTAAAGCTTTCAATGTCCACGCCACCTTTTTAAACGATCAGATTCAGCCTCTCCCTGAAACAATGCAAACTTTTCTCGAAAAAAAATCACGAGTCAGGGAAGCGCATGCTGCTTCGATGGAGTCAATTCAGATCCTAGTGCGACTTCCGGTACACCAGTTGCTTTAAATGCCCCACGAAGCGAAGTTGCAAGGGGCCAGGTCTGGGCGTCTTGGGGGCTAGGCGATCGGTCCACGTCTTTCAATCCAGCGCTGAGGAAAGGTCTCGTCCAGCCAGGTCCGTACCTCTTTGGATGAATTTTCTCTGAACCAGAACAGGACTCTCCAAACAGTCGTACCAGCAAACAGACTTTGCCTTTTCGGATGCAGAATACGACGCTTCTGATTTTTTTTTTCACTTACGCTAATTTAACTGTAAAAAAAAATTCAAGAGAGCCATGATTCAAACGGGCTAAAAACTGCGATCTCGAAAAACTTACATTTTCAGGAAATTGCTAACGAATCAGTTCAGCTTCAACTGAGAATAATAAAACTTTCCACACTGAAATTCTGTCAAAATCCATTTGCATGCCAATTTTTGTGGATTTTCGTTGAACGATGCTTGAATAGCACGCGTTTACTTTTGGGACACCCTGTATATGGTTTGAGTGTTTAGGGTCCTCTCAGTCATTTTCTGCACTGTTTTCGCTTAAGCACTTGTGGCACTAACTTCGGCTCAACGACGAAGTGCATTTGTGGCATTGCACAAGCAGGGCTACTCCGAAGCTAACGTCTTGAGGATGCAGGGATCCAAAGTATTCTCGCGGTTGTTAGTTAGTTCGCCTTTGCCGCGACCTGGAGCACAGATGATCAACCAAGAATTGGCTAGCCTCGCACTGTTCTGACACTAGCGCTGAAAAAGGAAGTGAAGAATTGGGTTTGGCGAAATCGAAAGTGGTTCATGAGGAATTTGGCAATTGCAACGAAGATCAATCGGGAAATAATACGGCTGATGGTCACAAAGGACATTTGCATGCGTTCCTATAAGTTCAGAGCTCACGGACTGACTTAACAGCTACCCAACGCAAGGACTCGATCGAGGCAAAAGGCCGCTGGAACACTTCACGAAACTTGATGCGGAGCACATCCTCTTTTCAGGTGGAATTATCTTTACGACACAGCAGATCTTCAAGTCCCAGAACAATTGCATGCTAGCTAGCTCCCGGCTTAACGGAGATATCATCTGAGCAGCGAATATTTTCTTGGTCGCAGAAGCCGGCTGAAATGATGGTTTGGGCTGGGGTTTCAGAAAAATGGTCGCACAGACCTGATTTTTTTTTTGCGCCAGAAGGACCCATATTGGAGAGACATCCGTACCAGGAGCTGCTTTTGGAGTCTCTGGTAAAGTGCTACAGTCGAAAAATCTTTGACACCATCAGTGGTGCTTCCAGCAAGACTGCCCCAGCCCACTTCGCCAAGATGATTCAGGAGCACAACGTGCCGGACTTCATCGAATGGACTTAATGGCCTAATCATCTTCAGACCTCAATCCCTTGGAGCACTCTGTGTGGTCGCCCTTGGAGGCCATGGTCTGCCCTCGCTCATACGCCAGTGTTGAGTGGATGAAGCGGTTCCTTCGAGCATGAAAAAGAGATCCCTCAAAAGAGACTGTGCTTCAGACTTCGACTGGAGTCGTCGTCTTGAGGCTTGTGTAACGCACGTGGTGGACATATTGAATACCTCTTTAATTAAGAGTTACCTAACATAGTTTAGTTTTTACGAAATCCTTTTTTTTTGGTCCTTTGGTATTGGTAAGAGTAAAAAAATGAAGGGACAGATCTTTTTTTTATTTATCACCCTATACATCATGCAAAATAAAAGTCAAATACTACTTGGAAATATGTGGATTTAATTAGTTGTCCATGTTTCGTTCTTCATTCACAGTAATTCACATTTATGTTCTGTGTCCAATGGGGACAATTTCAGGTATAAGTGTGACATATTAGTTTTTGTATGTGTGCATTTTTACCGATGTGCCCTAAAAAATATCCCTCAAATATTTGCACTTCCACTAAAGCACATCTAAGAGGTATAATCGAACTCAATCGAAGTTCGAAAAATTGTTCTATGAGCTTGAAAGTAGGATACCCTTGAAACTCTAGTGTGAATCATCTTTAAAATCATCTGCATCAATACAGCATTGTCAGCTATCGCGAAACTTCTAGAAGCAGTCATGGAAGTCTTCAGCTGGAATGCCTTTCAATTACTTGGCCACACTTTTCTTAAATATCTTCGAGACGACTTTCTTTCAACGCGGATTTTAAAGGTTGGGAACAAATAGAAGTCGTACAGTGCCGTGTCAGGTGAACAAGGAGGGTGTCTGAATCAACCATAAGACCACTGTGGTCTGATGGCTGCAAAGGAATCATTGGGCCGAGAGCGCAGCAATAAGCTGGTGCATTGTCGTGACACTGCAGTGCGATTTTGTCTTAGTTTTTCCCCAGTTTTTTAATTTTTTTTTATTTATTTTAAAAATGGAATAGTAACTTCTATGTAAAATATTCATCTCAGTAAGTCCAAAAAAAATTATGTACCAGCGAACCAAATGTTGATTTCTTCTCAACGACGCTTGTCGATGGCATGCCACTTCTCTCGTATCATTCACATCATTACGACCCTCGCGAAATCGTTGTGGCCATTTTAAACTGCTATATTATGCAGTACATTCTATGCATATTACTGTCGTAACAATGTAAGACTTTCAGTGAGCAACTTCTCATAATTTCCACAAAATTCAATGTTGATACGTTGTATGTTCTCCATGTTTACTTGCAGCGCGCCAAATTTCTACTATCTGCTTTTGATGGAGTGAGCGCTCAACTGAATCATGTGATATGGAGGGGATGAGGATGGTTCAATATGAATTTTTAAGCGAAGTGCATTCGATTACTACTATCTCCCTAATTTTAATAACATCATTTGCGAGGATTTTAACTGGACCTCGTATGTATCTTCCGTTGATAATTGAAATCCCTTAGATTTTATGAAAAAATCATAAAGAAATTGAATAAGGGAGGAGGAACTCACAAATGGTTGTCAGTCCCCAGCCGGTGACCCAA